CACTAAACAATGAATTGGTTTTCCCTACATAAGTTCTTGTTTAGTACAATAGTGGATCTTTAACGGTAATTATACCATGAGAGAGTACGAAAGATCTCTTGAACAAGTAATAAAAACATGTGGACAATCCAGGCCCACATTTCGACTGACAAACAAATAATGAGGGAATATACAGATGACAAAAAATAAATCGGTCGATTGGCAAGCATTTACGACTATGATTATCAAGCCGTACATTGTCAAATCAAGCTATTGAGGAACTGTGAAATTAAAAGACATGAAAAGTGACTAGCACTTTATCATAGTCGTCTTCGGAACACTGTTCGTGGATGACGAAACAACTGTGTAACCGAACTTGAGGTTGACCATAGGGTATTAGGTAAAAAGAAGTTGATTTATGTGATTATACGCCTTTATTGATTGAGAGGGTTAGGATATACGTTACCACTGTCTACCCTGACATCCGGTTTCGCTGATTTAAACGTTCAAAATTCTAATCCAGTATAGTATTATTGATATGAAACAATAACTGATGAAATTAATCTCTTCAAGGAAACATAAGAATTAAAGAAAACAAACTATTGACAAGAAAAACGTTCAAAATTTCGGCAAAATATTATTTAAGGTAATAAATGTCATGTACTAATAGTATGTTATAACTATTCGAATTTCTATCATTTCCAAATAGCTCATTAAAACAGTTACGTGTACATCAATAAGAAAATAAATTACATTTTTATTTAAATAAAAGTTGATTAAACAACATTCTATAACTGTTTCAATCCTCTCAATCGATATATATATAATTAAAAAGGTATTGCTCAAGGGTATTCAAATTTTACTTTCATTTTATTATACTTAATCCAATGTGATCTAGTAATAAATTGAATCTCTTTAAAAAAAAATTGCATAGAATATATTTATTACTATATATTCATCTCTTTTTTCTCTATCACTTATTTATTCATTGACACTTATTCATACTCATTTACCATTCCTTCGTATTTATTTAACAAAAAAACTGACAGTTTATTAGTTTTATTAATATTAAAATTCTTGGAGATTAATACCTATTAAAACACACAAAAAAGAGAATATTTGTGAAGACAGTGAAATTTCATAGTTAACATCACAGACTGATTTTAGTTAGGTAATCATTGAGAACTAGGAAACATTGGACAACTGTTTTAGCATAGTGTGGAACGTCTCATTAGTAATAAAACACATGTGTTTACTAATGGTTAAATTTGAGATGTAATTCTAGGGGTTCTACTGAGAAGTCGTGATTTTTGGTGTTCAACCATGTTAAGTGAGGTGCGAATTTCATTAATAATAATGGGAAATGATCGAGAAATACCGGAAGTCGAATAAAGTTAGATATGTAAACCGGTGGGTGTTAAGTCAGTAATCAAAAGACCTAAAGGTTCTGAGTTCAAGTATTAGTGGTTTAGTGAGTGTGCATTGTTGAGGAGTCTTACACTGAGCAGAAAAACTCTCCGATGGTTTCTGATTTTTAATAGTTGTTTCACTAAGGTCACTTAGTAATGTAAACTATGATATTTAACAATCTCCACAATTCCCTAGTGTAATATGTCAATCATCAATTATTTCCAAAATAAGACGTTCTAAATGAACTGAGATATCACCTCGAAAAAGTATACAAAATGTTTCAGAATATCAGAATGCTCTAGTGAAGTGTTGGTTGGCTTATCAGTTAAATCATTTGACTTTCAAACACCAGACTAAAGGGCCAAACTTCATTTCATCTATATAAAAAAGGTTGGTGGTTCAAAGTTGAGTAGTACATTAATTGACACTTATTGTTTAATTTTAAGCTAATTATGAAAAGGAATTATAGAAACGATAAGAACTATGGACAATAAAAATTACATAATGATGAGCTCTATCAGTTGGCAAATAACAATAAAAAAAACATAGAATCTATTACATTATCCGATTCCAAACAGTTAATATTATCAAACAATTATAGAGATGACTATTAAGATAAACAGTTATAGAAATCAAAAATAATAGTTGTTTTCAGTAATAGGAGCGTGTGGCGATAAATGAACATCATTGAAGTCATGAACTGACCCAAGTTACACCTGTTCATGATTTTAATGAAATAATAGTTGCCTCAATGATACGAATAAAAAAACGACACGGTATATACAAGAAGAAAATAATAATTGTTATTAATAAAACAGTAATACAGTTGTACTAAAATAATTATAACTTTACTGTCATTAAATCAACTTTTATTCTATTTGTATTGACAGTATTAACACCATGTTTAATTTTACTATTAGAATAGGAATTTGTAGAGATTCTAGTAATTCTAACAGTTGAATTTACAAGTCGATTTAAGTTACACCAACGTCTAGTGCTTTCACGTTTTCAGTGGTGGTCTAGCTTAAATCGACTCATGAATTTAACTGTTAAGAAACAAGTATTTATTGACATTATACCATAACTATAAGTAGCATTAATTATAATGTATATCAACATATTGTCATGTGCTTCTTTGTTTTCACCATCATTATTATGATCATTAAAATCATACTGAATATAAATTCACTTAGTATTGTTTGTTTGAATCTTCCCATCGATGTGTTAGGACTGCAACTGGTCAGTCTCTAATTGGCATATGTGCATACTGTGCGTATTGCCTCGATATAGCCTTGATTCACAAGCATGAAAAGCAAAGATGGATAGTGGCTAGCAGTGGAATCCAGGACGCGCGTTTCGTCCTATTTGGGACTCGTCAGCTGAATGTACCTGCATCTCAGATTTGATGTTCACCCCATCGCACAAGCAAGTGGCTATCAGGACTCAGTGGCCGAGTGGATAACGCGATGGCGTTTGAAGCGAGGGTACTGGGTTCGAGTCCCAGAGTGAACATCAACTCTGAAATGCAGGTACATCCAGCTGACGAGTCCCAAATAGGACGAAACGCGCGTCCTGGATTCCACTGCCAGCCACTATCCATACTGAATATAAGCTTACAATTTTATGTAACTGTCTTTGTCATAAAAAGAAACAAACTTTAAGAAAAATGTTTAGATATTTTTTTGTAAGAAAGTGTTTTATGCTATTTCAACTGGTGTTTGTTTATGATTTGAACTGTATAATCACAAACGTAAACACGTATAAAACCCGGAGTACAAATAAACCAGATAAGATCAGTTGATCATAAAAATTACAATAATTCATCTCTTTTGTATGTAATAATCATGTCATTAAGTATATAGATAGACACATAAATTATTATTATTATGTTAGGTCATTGAATAATGATTTTAATGTGTTCCAACACATTATTATTATTACAATCATTTGTAAAAGAGAAAGAAGAAGAAACACAACATCACTACTTATGCCAATTACTATCACACTATGTTTATTACAAATACTTAAACTACCAAAAATGTGTTTTGCGTTTTGTTGATTCATAGCGTGATATAATCTGTATCATAGTACTTCGTTAAATCTTGTACATTCATCTTATTTTTCATTGGATTTTGAATACATCATTATTGTAATCTGTTCTCCACTTTACATTCAATATTATTTACCTATTTCACTTCAAGAAGATGAATGCATTTTTTTTCGATTAATTTATGAGTTATTATTTAATATGAATAAAAAAAATTGATTTATTTTGAACAACATTAGTGACGTATATACAAGGAGACAGAGCATATGAACATAATGTATGGTGGAAATTATTATTTACCATAACAGTTTAAGCTCAATGAACAGGAAAATGATGAAAATTAGGCTGTATTTTCGGTCAATAACACTACATGAGAATGGATACTTTCGTTTCAACATATATATATATATATATATATATATATATATATATATATATTTGGTGCCTTCTTGTACTAATGTTTATGTGTTTAAACAATGATAAATAACATCATAAAATGAACATTAGTTGGCAATTTCTTTTTTAAACCGTCAGAACTACACTAGGTTGTCATTTAAACCTTTACAGAATCACCTTTAATTCAAAGATGGAGACAGTAGGGTTAAAACCTGTAACATATAGGGTTGAGTTGTATTTTTTTCAATCACTAAATTAAAGGTTGAGTGTTTACGGTAAGGTATTATTAAGTTAAGCATAATTAAACTCATTGTTGATAGAACAATATTATCGACTAATATCTAGTTATATCAAAATAAAAAAACGTACATATATTTAATTGTTTAAAAGTTCTCTTTATTTTTGAAGAAATGAAATGAGAATTTATTTACTTATTCATGAATTATAATAGTAACATAATATAACTGTAATATCCCAATAAGTAAAAAATTTGGAAACCCGACACTTCGTACTTAAGTCGTTTCTTCAGAAAGAATAAATAATCGAATTAAGTTGAAATAGAGCAGAGAAACAAACCAGAAAATATTTATTAAAATCAAAAGCCATGTTATTAACGCATACGTGTCCATGTGACATTTGTAATATGAAACAGTGGAGTTAATTTATACGTCATTGATGTGAGATTAGTTTATTACTCTGTGCATTTTAATGTAACTCTTATACTGGTCTATATAATTACCTTTCGGTCATATTGTTTGTCTGACAGCTATTATTACTATCCGACCTGCAGGAACCAAAGTAGATATAAAGATTATTAGTTGTTTAATCTACTGTATTAATGATGAATAATTTAATCATTAAACCGCTACTCCTGTTACATGCATATAATAAATAAATACATTATTTCAATTGATTACTTTTTCAAGGATATATTAGTTTAATTTCTCACAGTTTAATGATCATCCATATTTAATTCTATATGACTAGTCTTTACGAAATAACAATAAAATCTACTTCCTTTTCTCAACTTTAAGTCATATGTCTGTGCATAGATGTATGACTTGAAAGAAAAATTCTAATCATCATCCCCGACATATACACTGGATAAGGGGAAAACAATCAAAACAATAATAATAATTTTTATTAAAAGATAAATAAATCAACTTACATGAAGTTTACCAGAATAAATATCATACGGTATATGAAAAGTGGATATACTCGAGTAAACAACCATTATACCATGTAAACGTGTAATCCTATTATCAACAATAGATATACTCATAAACAATTTCGTTTGATTCGGTATTAGTTCGGCATTAGTTATATGATGATGAATCTTTCCATTAAAATTTCATTTTTAAATGATTGCATAAGAAAAGATTGAAACAGGAAATGAAAATAAAAAAATATACATTTTAAATGAACATGTTTACATGTGGTAACAATGTGAGCAGTTACAAATAAGTGCAATAATGTTTATCAATTATAACTATTAAGAAATAAATAAATTTGACGATATTGAACAATCCTTAACCATCATGTATGGGGGATTATTGTTTCATATTCAATAGTCACTGGTCGCGGTTTCTCATTGGACCTTCAGGAGGTTGCATTTCGAAGCCAGTCAATGGTGAACACATGATTATATTCAGTGTAAGGGGATTTGTAGAGATTGCAGAATTCTCATAATTTAAATCACAAACTGATCTTAGCTAGATCATTGAACCAGCAACCAACGATATTGATGTCAGCTCAGTGGTCTAAATATTAAACATTCACGCACGAGACCTAGGCCATCAGTTTGATTCCCGTAAGAAGGGTTATAGCTGTGCTCTCCAAAGGAGTCCTATACTTCAACTGAACGGGTGTTTATTGCTTACACGTTTTTAATGGTGATCAGGTTAAGATCAGTTTGTGATTTAAACTATGAAGACTCTACAGTCTCCACAAGTCCTCCTATACTGAAAATAAATAAGTGATGTAGTACACCTAATTTCATATAATATCACAAAAATACAATTAACAATAATATTTATCGGTGGTTTTTGATCTCTTCTTCCAAGTGTAATAGTACGAACGTGTATAAACAAATGACACTAGAAAAGTAATATGTGTCTAGTAAACCTCTAAAGAAAGTAAACATAATATGAATTAATAACAAATGAGAAAATCACATGATAATCAGATAATAATAACAACTATGGAGAAGCGTATTATTCGTCATGTGTCATATTATATATATATATATATCCTCTGGGAAGTTCCGACGTTTATGTGCATATGACAATTCATATGACCATAGCAGTCACCCTGCTAATCACGTCTCTCCGTCCTTTTTAAACAGTCAATGAATTATTTAACTATAATGTTATTACATTCATATTAAAAGAAAAGCAAACAAATAACACATTTTCAAATTAGAAAATAATTCATTTTGACAACAGACAACTAGTATTAACCAGATGAGAAAGTATTCTGATACATTGTCTAACATTAATCATGAAGATGGGAAATTTCCAATAATATATATATATATATATATATTGGTTAGTGTTGGTAATCAACTGGATTTTCATTTCTATGCAACTTTCATGAGACCAATGATATAAATAGTTTATTAAACTCAAGAAAATATATTTAATTAATTTTTTTAATACAATTAATTCGAAGTTGAACCATTGATAATAAATAGGATACTTGAATAAAATATATTCTCCATCCATTATTCAGTAGGATGTGCATTTATCATTTTCCCATCATAGTTTAGGGGGGTATGACCTGATCAGTCTAGCGGTAATTCAGCTTTGATTCAAAGTAAATAAGTAATATCTATGGAAATTTCTTTATGAGATATTTTAATACATTAGATATTTATTTCCATTAGAATTTTAGCCCCAGTATTTGCTAATCTAGTTGTAGTGATTAGCATAGATAATACATGATCTAGAAAATGAGGTACAAGTAGGAGGATTCAAGGCTATCCTAATTGAATTATCTTCCATCCTTGTACGCTTGTACACAATGAGAAACTTATTTACTGAACATAATGTTGTGATAACATTCTAAGTGTAACAAAAAGCCTAGAGTATATAAACCTGAACTAGGTAAATGAGTTACATCATAAATGAAAAGTAAGTGGTGGTAAAAAGACAAGAATTTATTATTTTATGATGAATAGTGAAGTTTTCTTCCAGTGGTTCAATTTAACAGAGTAATCTTTCTGACATTTTACTTTCAAATGTACAACGATTTAGAAATTTACACATTAAAGCGATAGTAACATTCACAGGCATGTATACATACATAAACATGCACAAACAAAGAGATATTGTTATCATAAAGAAATTCACTAACACATTCATTAATACTCAGTCACTCACCTGTAGTAAATACTTATGACTCGGAGTTAAGAAATCAATTTTCGATATGAATAGCGTAAAATCATATCGATTAGTTAGCATAAAACGAAATAAAAACACTGGATCTTGCCGATTCTTCTCATTTAAATAATTGGGCACTGTTTGAACACTTGATGTAAGTGAACTGAACAAAAAGAGCAGAAAGAGACACAGAAAATATTGTTTAGCTGATAACCTTTCTTTACCTCATGTATATAAACATTAAAATATGAATAGATTTTTTTGAAGGTGTTCAATGCAGATGTGCAGACTGCCATTTGAACGATACTACTACGTGGGTATTCGTGATACCGTTCCGGTTATAGGAATAATTTTAATTAAAATTCGTATGCCGATGCTCTTTTATGTGATATTTGAAAGTAGAAAAATATTTTAAGATGAAGAACGATTTGTTGTACATTCATCATTGTTATGTATGACGACTTTCTGTATTCATATCTTTAGCATAAAGTATTTGGTTTTACTCTTGTTTTTTTGAGAGGGAGGGCGAAGCAATAAAATAGTAGTTCCTATAAAATCTAGTCATGAAATAATATCAATCAATGTTTTACCGATGATCTGTCAGTCCCGAATTAAATCACATAATGATATCCTAAATGATTGATCGGTAAGTGGTGATAAGTTGGATGAGAATAAACTCCACTCTCGATCGCGATGTCAACCTTGCATCTGGCAAACAGCAGAAATGAAGCGGAAATTATTTATGCTGTCGTGGCTTATATGAAGTCACGAGACGTCAGAAATACAGTATTATACTCATTGGGATATCACAAAAATATATTTATTAGAAGTCTATAACGTTGAGTCACTTAGACCAATGAACACATTACAACTTAATCGAAAATATTTAATTAGCACTGAGAACTGGATAAGCATCGCTTCAGTTAGTATTGGATGATTATTAGTAAGTAGCTAATCACTTAGTATGTCCATGTGTGTAAATAGTCTACTTAAACCCGTTTAAGGAACAATCATATTAATAATAGCAGGAATAGGACACATTTGAGGTGTCAGTTGAAATGATAATAATCGGTAGAACAATTAATTAAAATTTCTTATAAAATTTGTTTGACGAAGAGAGTAGAAGTCCAGCTTTTAAGAAAATATAGAAGAAAGCTTCAAAAATTGGATTGAATAGTTTATCTGTGACTTGATACATGTATTTTTACATAAGTAATTTATTTTAATAGTTGAATTCATGAGTCGATCTAAGCTAGACCACCATTGAAAACCTGGAAGCACTAGACGACCGGTTCTTCCTAATATGGAACTCCTCCACAGTGTACGATTACGATCCAGCATACGGAACTCAAACCCAGGATCTTCGGTCTCGCGCGCAAACGCCTAACCTCCAGACCACTGAGTCGGCATACAACGGTGTTAATGTCTAAATTCAACCGATCCATGATCTCGCGCAACCCTTCACCCAATGTATGAAGTAGATACCTGTCTCTACCACATAATCCAACTATTAAAATTACTACAATCTACACATCCCCCCATTCTGATAATAATCATTATGTGCTGACTAGTGACTGGCTTCAAGGCGGATTTCCTGCAGTTCTAGTGAGAAGCCGTGACAAGTGGAGTTTAATCCGTGTCGGATAGTGACAGATATCTACTTCAGACAATGGGTGAAGGGTTGCGAGAGATCATGGATCGGTTGAATTTAGACATTAACACCGTTGTATGCCGACTCAGTGGTCTGGAGGTTAGGCGTTTGCGCGCGAGACCGAAGATCCTGGATTTGAGTTCCGTATGCTGGATCGTAATCGTACACTGTGGAGGAGTCCCATATTAGGAAGAAACGGTCGTCTAGTGTTTCCAGGTTTTCAATGGTGGTCAAGCTTAGATCGACTCATGAATTCAACTATTAAAATTCATACAATCTACACAAACCCCCATTCTGAAAAAGAAAACAAAATGGGTCGCAACCGCTATTTCACTCTCGAGTATTTCAAATCGACAGTTAGAGTAATGACTTGAGAAAACTTGTTACATGATTATATCATATAAACGTAAAATTGCACTGACCAGTAATTATTTATGTGGTACCTACATACCTTTACCTTACTTTATTGTAATACTTAAACTAACTCAGTACACTGCTCGAATCTTGGGGATCGTTCATACGTATTTAGGTCAATATTGCTTCATGGAATTCAATCTAAAAAATCGGCTGTTAATTAATTTCCACTTTATCTATACAAAACTGAAACATTTGTTTTGTATATTTTATGTCAAATTAATGGTCACAGTAAGTGATTAAATAAATCCATGAAGAATATATTAGAAACATTCTAATCTATGCATTTTTAAATTACTTTATCAACTTATCTATTTACTCTAACTGAATATTGAACGTGTGTAATTTTGATCAAGCCTTAAAATGTGCGTAAAAGTAGTATCACGTTTATCAATGATTATAAACGTCTACGGCCAATAACAAATCAACAATTGTATGATTAGAATTTAGGAGTAGTATTTCGAATCTTCAAAATAAATGCATATATAAGAACTTTATTGAAGTTAAGCTTAGTAAACCAGTGGATAACACGTTGACATTTGAAGCAAAAAGTATTGGGTTCGAGTATCAATGTGAACATTCCCATTGAGATGCAAGTATACTCAGCTGACAAGTTCTAAGTAAGTTGAAATATACGTCCTACATTCCTCTGCTAGCCACTGACTTGAACAGAAGTTTTTGATCAAGTGACAATATTGAGGTGATCCGCTCACAACGCACATACACTAACAAAAAGTGATCAATTGCACTTCTTAACATAAACAATGGAAAAATATAAACCTTTACAAATAAATATCAAATTTATTTGGAGATTTTAAATGTTTACTCCCTGGACTAAAGTTTTGATATGGAAAATTTCCCAAACAGATAGAAATATAGAATAATGAGAAAACTCCACATACATTAAAGAACAGATCTAGCAAAAGTGTACTTACAAAAATTACATCTGTTAATTTGAACTTATGCACTGTCTCATCTGTCCTAACAACAAGTCATCAACTACAACACTTTTAAATTATTTCAGAACTAAGGACAAAATTGCTTGTTCCATTAAATTGTAGAACCAATTACAGTGTGCAACATCAATGAACTGCTAAACAATAACAATATGTACAATTTATCAGTGTACAGTTTATGAAGTGCATTATAAAAATCTAATTGTTGTAACTCCACATTATTGTATATGATAAATAGAAAATCAATAAAATATAGTGTGTATTGTATGTCACTAATCAATAAAACCCAAAACAATACTCAATACTCGACTCAGAAACCATTCATTTAACTGTCCTTAAACTGATAAGGTCAATGTTAAAATTTATCGCGATTAAAATACCTCACTATAAATCGATACTTATGAACAAACGAACAAATGAAAACCAAAAACACTGCATTTTGAAGAACGGTAATAATAACAATAACAATAATAATAATATTAATGATAATGATAGTAATAATAACGGTAATGACAGTAATAATAATAACAATAAGAATAATGATAATAATAGTAAGAAGAATGAAGAATTCAAAGAAGTTAAGGATATCACTTTCGAATTCTGTATAAATTAGCTGATCACAATAATATTAAAATTACTATTATAATAAATAAATGTAAATTTCACTTACCCATAAACCAGTCGACCATAGAAAGGTATACGTAAATAAATAGACTGATCATTCGTGAATACAGAAATCATACCAGATAAATAATAACTGTGAGATAAATGTGCCGCTGAAAATATGTAAACAGAAACAAGAAATGTTAAACAAATTTCTTTTCAAAAACAAATCATGAATAATTCAATTTATTCAGTGTAAAATTGTATGAGAATGAGAATGAAAAAATAACAGCATATACGAAAATTATATTTTTTTAGAACAGCGTTAAACAAATGACGTGATATCTTTGTAAATCTTAAAGGAAAATATAAACCCTCGGATTAGGAGAGATCTGGAAGTCTTCGACTAGATCCTTAGTCTGAGGTCGTCAATTTGTGAGCTACTGTAGAGTTTTGAATAAGGACAAAGAAGCCATTATACTATTTATTTAAACACATAAATATTGGCACAAGTAAGCACCAGATAAATATGCACCACACAATTCTCATTTGATTTGTGTGAGGGCTGTGATACTGCCCAGGTGCCCAAACTGAAGCAGGTGGTTTTCTTAGGGGGCCACACCCGGAGCCTTTGATCTAATGGTCTAACCCACAAGGCAGTGGAGCATCGTGAGGATATGCAGTTCCATGGTAGCCGGTGACCGACGATTGGTTCATACGCCATTTGTTCCCTCAGGATACTGGAGCCCATGTGCACCATTGGTTTGGAATCAGGGTTTTCCAACTCCCCTAGGTGGACTTTCCGTGTCCATCAATCCAGTTATAGCGCCGGATATTCGCTTTTCGTAAACAACACTCCCACCATGAGAATGCAGTGAGTAGGACTTCCCTGACAGAGGCTATATACGCATGGCCATGTGAGAGCATTTCGAGAAGGAGAGCGGACTCTCCCCACTCTCGGCCGTACCAGGGCCATTATACACGTGGACAATGGTGGTTTTTTCAGGCGATATGTTGAATACAGTTTCCAGGTTTCATTAATCTTAATTTACATCATCCAAGTGATTAAAGTGAATATGTTCATAACCATTTAGGGATGTTTTCTTTTGGAAAAAAGTTCTGTTTCCAGATTTTTTTTTCTAAATCTCGCAGAGAATAACCATATGTACCAAATTCAATGTATATCGTTTATATTTTTCAAAGATGAATAATGATATAAACTGGTGTTTGAACTTAATGAAATTGTCTGCTTGAAATGGATTTTGACGAATCAGTAAATTAATATCTGAGAAATGGATACTTTAAAAAGTCGAACGTTTTTGAAAAAAAAACACAAGAAAACTTTCATCGATAAAAAACGATTTAAGTTTTACTGTAATTAAATTAGGAAGTAAATATTAATTTTGTTAAAGGTTGGTATTGTTCAGTTATGATATTTCAATATTCATTGCTAAATGAGAAATTTGTGCAATATAGTAATTACTTTAATACTGAGCAAACAAGTTTTAATAGAATGATTAGCAAACTTCAACTTCATTCAATTCAGGCCTTAAGTTTATTTCACCTTAATTTCTTTAATGAACATGCTAAAATCTACAGAGTGGTTAATTATGTAAATTTTAATAACTCGAAAGTTTTATTCTCATAAACAAGTGTTCACCCCATCGCACAAGCAAGTAGCTATCAGGACTCAGTGGCCGAGTGGATAACGCGATGGCGTTTGAAGCGAGGGTACTGGGTTCGAGTCCCAGAGTGAACATCAACTCTGAAATGCAGGTACATCCAGCTGACGAGTCCCAAATAGGACGAAACGCGCGTCCTGGATTCCACTGCTAGCCACTATCCATCTTTGCTTATCATGCTTGTGAATCAAGGCTATATCGAGGCAATACGCACAGTATGCACATATGCCAATTAGAGACTGACCAGTTGCAGCCCTAAACACATCGATGGGAAGATCCAAGCAAACAATACTAAGTGAATTCAAGTGTTCATTGTTTGCTAATTTATAATTTTAATTAGTGCTTTTTCTTTTTAATGATCTTTGATAATACAAAACTTATAGTTGCTGAAGTATCTCCAGAATTATAAAAAACAATACCTTCTGAACAGTTCGACTTAAAAACTTTGGTACATTGTGAACTGAAATTAAGGGTTCCCCAACTAGTATTGATTTGTAATATTTAAAGAAGAATGCCAACAAATTACACTGTCAATTGAAGAGGAATTAAAAATTAAGGGATACTAAGAGGTAACTGATTCCTATAAATTGAGAAATTTTCAGTAGTTTTCATGATTAACTCTTCATCAAAGCTTAAATAGGAAATATGAGTACTGTATAAATCAAATTCCTGGACTAATCTTCAGGTTTAGAATTCAGTAATTTGAATTTCTCTTTTTAATTTATAGCATAAAACCAATGAATTTCAAGAATCAGTTCATATTTGGCTAATATCAAAGATTAGGAAAAGAGTTATTATTGAACAAGTACGTTGCTACTACATGACTGTAAGCACGCCTTACCGAATAGTGCTTATCAGCACGAAATATAAGTACAGCATTTCCTAACGATTGCCTCCAACTATCTAACATCATTATACAACATGTTTTGTGAATGTCGTCAATAAGGGACTGGCATCAGATGGAGAGTAATAAAAAGGAAACTAGTGACTGAATGGGAATTAAACTATATTTCAAATTAATCGAAATTAAGAAAATGTAAAACGTTGAATTATGATTGAATAAGCGCTTAGTAACATGCTTTCCACAATATGTGAATTTCATTTTAGATTCGTTCTAAAGCCTGTAGAGTTAAATAGCTTTAGGTCTAGAATAAAACAATTAACTGCTGTTTCAGAACGCTCGCTTAATAAATCTGTCTTTTTAAGCCTTTATTAATCACATATTTACAAATCATCTCATCAATAACAACTGTCTTAGAATTAATCAATATATGTATACAACTATCCGAAATTCACTAATTTAGTTGAAGGGTATTTTTTAGTTTCATTTAATTTGAAGTTATATTTGTCACGGATCGATCTCAGTTAAGGTGCCATTGGACGTCGACCCAATATTTCCTATAGTAAAGAGATCAGTGAGGGATCTGTAGGTTCTAAGTTCAACCCATGGGGGGATTCGTAGATGGCCACTTCTAACATGTCTTGTACCACGACAAAATAGCTGTCTAGTGCTCTCTAGCTTTTAACTGTGCCCAACTGAAATCAAACAATAAAAATATAACCTACAGAAATTATGAATTACAACAGAATATTTATTATGTAACATGATCACCAATAACAAGTTTCATTAATATCAGTATATTACACAAATACTTATCACTCCAGAGACAACTTATGCTTTTTTATCTACAGAAGAAAACATTTAGCTTTTCTTTTTCTCTTTTTAAAAAAAACAACAAGTTTTTGTGCATGCAACTGATTCGCATTATCTAAAACACACCATTCTAATAACAAAACAAATAAAAAAAGAGTAATCAGAACAATGATTGTATGTAAAAAACAACATTCCATGGAGATGATTGTGTCTAATCTAGATTTATAACAGTAAAACCCTATATGTATCTATGCATATTCTGTTGTTTTTGTTGTATTGTCAATCAAATGGTTTACAATCTAGAAAGTGCTCATAACGATGATGATGATAGTGATCCATTTTATGAAATTTTTATTATAAGATGGTCGTATAGAAAAACGCTATTTTTGTATAAACTTTTCTTATCTAAAGTACAAAAATAGCAAACTTAATAAACTGAAATTCATTAGTGAATTTCATATATACTAACAACTTTTATTAGTCGATAAATAAAATTTTTTTTTTATTCTGTTTTGTTGACAAAAATAACAACAAAACAGTAACAACGATAGTAGCCATGAAAGTGACATCTTGTGAATAAAACTTACTTACTTAATTTAGCTATTTATCCCTCATGGAGGAGCGTAGGCCTTCAACAAGCATTCACCATCCAACTCTATCATGGACAATCCTTTCCAGTTGCTATTCATCCTTTTCAAGTATACTTCTAATTCTCATATAGTGTGCTCTTTGGTCTTCCTCTTTTCTGTTTCCTTTCACGATTCCAAGTTAGAGCTTGCCTCGTGATGCAGTTTGGTGATTTCTGTAATTTACGTCCTATCCACTTACAACGTCTTTTCCTAATTTCCTCTTTAAATGAAAGCTGGTTTATTCTCTCCCGAAGTAGGCTGTTGATGATGATATCCTGCTAACGGATATTGAGTATCTTGAGTAGACATCTGTTTACAAATACTTGTACTATTTTGATGATGATTGTAGTAGTTCTCCAAGTTTCAGCTCCGTACAGTAGAACTCTTTTGATGTTCATATTGAAGATTCTCACTTTGATAATGGTTGACAGTTGTTTTGAGTTCCATATGTTCTTCAACTCTAGGGATGCTATCCTCGCTTTGCCAATTCTCGCCCTTACATCTGCATTAGATCCTCCTTGTTCATCGATGATATTGCCGACCAGCTACGTGAAAGTTTCCACCTGTTCCAGGGTTTATCCATCAAGTGTGATTAGGTTAGTGTTCTCCGTGTTGTATTTGAAGATCTTAATTTTTCCTTTGTGTATGTTGAGGTTACTGCTGCAGAGGCTTCTGCCACATTGTTTGTTTTAACCTGCATTTGTTGGTGTGAATGGGATAGAAGGGTCAGGTAATCTGAGAAGTTCAAATCATAAAGTTGCATGCAAGCTGTTAATTGAATTCCACCTATAGCTCTCCTAGGGTTGCTGCCGATCCCAAGACTGGGTAAAAAAAGGTTGGACATGGGGTCAGTAACCCCACTCCGTAGGAAACAACTTTGCCCAAAAAACGCTGACCAGAATAAACATTTTGAATGAAGGTTTTACATAATTTAAGCACACTCTTTCTCTCTTACTACATTTCTCACTTTCTAGTATATTCAACCTATTTTTATAAAATAAACATCTCATTCACTATGTTGAATAGTTAAATAATAGTTTATTTGAGAAAACCTTTCAAAATAAAGTAGCTTGTGAAAATTAAACTGAACATATTTTGATAACTTTAATGACTGTTGCGAATCGTTATGTATACGCGTGTGTGTAATGTAATGTTGTAAGTATCTCTAGATATTCCCTGGACTCCCGAATCAAAAGAGGTGCTTTTTTAAGAGACCATTACTTGAGCCTGTAATTTCGAGGTTTAATCCAGTAAGGGAACGTCAGAAAATAGAGTCCCATGGTATCCATTGGCCAGAAGAAGTTTTTGCTTCATTTTTTTCTTAAGATCTTGTATACCAAATATATAAACGGTTTAGAATCAGGGTTTTTCAACTTGCTTGTGTGAATCGAGTAATGTACGTATATTGTGTTAACTAGTTAGAACAAAATCACTATAACGTCAAGTAGTTAAAACCGTGATTTAACGATGAAAGTAGTCGAATTTGAATTAGTATGTCACAACTCCAAAACTTATTCCACCTATATTGGTTTAGAAAATTGGATAGTATCACTAACGTGTACATAATTAACGTGGTTCAAATCCAAATACATGAACCTGTAGCTGGTTAGAGTTACAGTAAAATTTCTTACACGTAGTTTTTTTTTATTATCATGATGAGGGCAACGATAAAGATTTGAACAGAATTGCATGAGTTCATGTGATTTAGTTAAGTTCTCACCAGATGCTTATTAATTTGTAATATTTTCAAACCTAAATTATACATAAAAATTAGCATACTTATACCAGTGAATTTAATTAAAAGTGGAAGTCTGAATAGTTAACGAATATGAATTCATGAAATTTAAAAAGGCTAAATCTCGATTGTGTATTAATCACCGCGATAGATTTGAATGTAACAACTTGATGTCTTATATCAAAGAGATGTCTGAAAATAGAACCACTGAAAGCCTTAATCAGCCTGACTTAAACCTTTCTGAAATATGTTCTGTGAATCATTAAATTAATCTTGAGATTTAATTAAGAGTATTAGGTCATTTGGATAAAACATTTGACAGAGGAAACAAAAAATACAAAGATGTCCGATTTTTAAAAATTTAACTGGATCTCATAAAATGAGTGAAAAAGGTTGATAACTAGAATTATCTAACGATTGAAATCTACAACACACAGATCAATGTATGAATAATCGTCAGATAACCACAAGTGAAAACTAAACAAATAAAACTAAAGTTTTAAAAAGACAAGTGACAAGAAAAGTTGTTTTTTAAAATTCTAAAATGCATTTTCTTGCTGAATTCAATTGATAGGAAGAAGTCTTAAAACATGGAGTTCTGTTCAGACTAATCAAGATAATTTTCTCCAACTTATCATTTTTACGTTACTAGGACACTACTGCTACTAACCAATATGTAGTAAGAAGTTTCAGTTCATTGATCTATTTGTACAGTGGAATTGTTCAGCACATTCTATGAATGAACAATGAATGATGAGTAGAATGACAACTAAATAAGAATAAACTGATAAGAAATAGTTAATTAATGACTATTTTTATAATTCACACGAACGAAAGATATTGCAAATGCAATGTTGTACATGTCTTTACTAGGTAGTGGATATTGTTATTAGATAGTATTGTCAGCAGGACTTGTAACAATAAAATCCTACTGGAAGTATATTGTACGGAAATAATTCACTGTTCAATACTACGATTATTTCATTTACCTATTGTTAATATTTTGACAAGTTCATGGAGCCATAATAACATTTATACCTATCAAAAATTTACTTGTTTAAATAAACCACTTCAAAAATTTTTTTATTAAAAATTATTAGAATTGTTCATTTATACAATTATATATATATATATATATATATATATGCTGATGGTCATTGACATTTCACAGCGTGATTTTTGTTCATTGTCACCTAATATTGACAAATTACTCAAGTTGCATAAAAACCTTTTTTTCATAATCAGTGTGTTATTTCATTATGATATGTAACTATTTATACAATGGGATATATAATCCATAGATCATCATTAAAATGATAATATATATATATATATATGTCATTACCCTGAAGCCAATGAGTTAGCTCGTCCAGTGGTTTATATTTCTATCTACACTAATAAAATATACACCTAAGGGGTTCATTCTATAAGTTGTTGATATTAAGGACTGCATTTTATTAACCTCTATCGACATAGGCACCCTGAGAGGATTGTCTTAATAGTAACTTTAATGGCAAGGTTTTATTATATTTCGTATACACATAACAGTGAAAGCCAAGACGCATGTTTTATCCTATGTGAGGCTCGTCAGCTAATAGTACCTATATGCCAGCGTTGATGATCACAGAGGCTAAAATCCGGTGTCTATCGCTTTAAACGACGTGTTACCAGATGGGCTACTGAATCTAGATGGTTATTTACTTATTCAACGGACATAAAGTGATGTATATAAAAGTTGTGAGCTTCTTTGTCGTTGAAATTAAGGAATGCAGTTGACCAGTTTTCCTTAAGATATTCTTATCTGGAACCGATTGCCTCAATAGTGTCCTTAGTCACAAGTTTTCAGTAAAGTTAGATTACGGCTATTAGGGGAATTTATGACGAGAGATAACGTGGATTCTACTGCTAACCATGATTCTATTTTACTAATACATCAATGAAATATTGTTGGTTTTTAACTATAACAATTAGCAATATGTTTCGGGGTGATTAAAATGACAAAAACAAAACCCTAAATAAGTGTTTCGATGTTTGTTTTTTTCAAATAATTAAGCAAAACAGAAGCTTGATAAAAAGTAAAATATTATTCGTTTTTCTTAGGTATGATGTGTTTGTTCATAAGTATGTCCGAACATAGCGGTTTTGTTCGATCCGAAAAGTTACAAGTTGCCTCTTAATAGTACCATTTAAAAAAACTTGTTTTTGCCGACAAAAACTAACCGAATGTTTTTTAATTAAAAATTGAATATTCAGTGTTACATAAAGCAGTTAATACAATTTCAAACTAATAGTAACACATAAAACCAATGAACTCTATCATCACACAAAAAATATTATAGTTTACATTACGGAATGATCTTAGTTAAACAAATATTGAGAACTAGTAGACACTGAACAGCTACTCCTTCCTAGTATGTAACCACTTAGCAGTGGCCATCCGCTGCCCTTCCTATGACCTAACTCAGAACATTCAGGCCTCAAGATGAGTACTTAACCTTTGGGCCAGTTGGCCGGCGATTAATGGTTTGACATTGATCAATTCATTACAGTACGCAACCATCTTGTACCTGACATGGTTGATCTTCATTAATCGTAGTTTCTCACAAGAACTCTTCAAATCACCTTTCAAAATAAGTCAACACTAAGTGCATGATTATTACCAGTACAGAAATTTGTAGAGAAATATTCAAATAATCAATTTGTTTCACTAAATATTAAACAGAATATTGTACTTACATGAAAGTGTTACGATGGCAATAGTTTTTGGAGTCGTAGTATGTGGTGAAATAATTTTTTCTGTAATATTAATTGATAAAGCTTCATCATAGATATTAGCTTCAATACTCTACAATTAGAAAAAAAATAAACAACTATTTAGATTAAATTCTTATGATGGATGCGAATGTGATACTATCGATAAATAGAAATTAAACAACTATTACTTTAATGTACGATAAACATCCGCTTTCTTAAAAATATTTTAATTTATTGGAAAAATAGGTTGTATTTACACAGTATACACCATGTCAACTAGAGGCAGATGTTTTTATTCATTGAGAGGTTAAAAGATAACAACAAAGAAATTGTTGCCATAGAGAAAAAAATGTCACGAAATTCACGTTAATCGATCTATCTATTTTGGATAATTTCATTATTTTTATCACTCGTTAAGGTTTGATGAAATAACAACAGAAATTTAATAACTTTGTTCCTAGTTCTTTTTTCCTAACCGTCAGTCCTTGTGTTATTTTGACTTATTTAAATAATACCTTACTTCCATGACCTAACCTCTTCGCCATTTCAAATTTGAATAATGCAATAGTAATCGTATTTCGACTAGGCAATTTAACGCTAATGATGTGTCTGTGAAAAGAAGATAGCAGAATTAGACTAACATTAAATATAAATTACTTACTACAAAGAGAGATATCAGTTTTATGCTCCCGGATGTTCTTAAACTTAACTCAGTTTATGATTAAAACACGTATCTCGTAAATGGTTTAGGGAAATTATTAAAAATCTTTTTACCTACGTTTTATGTTTGTTATGAGAAGTAAACCTCATAAAAGTTTAAAACATTTTTTGCTGATAAATCTTAACATGTGAAAAATTCAGATCGATGATACAGTGCTTAGTCTACATCTAATGAAATATTGAACAATGTTGAGTCAATTAATTTGATGACCGACTGTACAAACTGTAAAAATTCAGTTCAATGATTCTTATCACAACCTAAACAGTTCATCATCAAATTAATTATTAACTAGCTATTGGTTAGTGTAAAAACATCTTACATTATAGATAATAATACAGTGATAATAGATTGAATTTTATGTAAGAATTTAAAGTGAATTAAAATTACTGTTTCCATTGTTAGAGTGAGGAGTCGCAGCTGTTTATTATTCATAGTGAGTTCAATTATTTAAGGATATTAAAATTACACAGAGTGCATATAATAATATAATTATACATATCCACATGATATATGCCAACAAATAAAAGACATAAATATTAGTTTTGTCTCGACAAAAAATTAAAATCATACTAGGACATTACGGCACTAATGTTTAGAAAACTTCGCACTAGCAACAAAAACAAACACTGTTTGACCTCAATTTATAAACAGATATCAATTTAGTAATAAATTGTAACAATGACAATGGATATTACTAACACGTTTAACAAAACTAAATAAGGAAAAGACTAGAAATACCTCATATTATTTATTGTTACTCATAAGCATAATGATATGATGATGACAATGCTTAATAAATTGGAAACAAGGTAAATGATAAACCATACTGTTATCAAATTTAATATTTCTTTAAAATCATTATTACTGACATATATATCTTATTTGAAACCATTCTAAAAATCTATTCATGAAATGTAGTTAACAAATAGTCATTTCTAGTAGTGATTACACTTACGGCCAGCTACAGTACTTTATTATTAATCAACTTGTATCGAAATTATAAGTTTATTTAGTTCTATATAAATTTATTATTATCATCTATTGAGCAGCAATGTCTGTATGATATGGAATTAACAAAAAGAACAAACCAAAAAGTGATGATATCCGCATATCCATGTTTACACTGACTTAGCATTCTATAGAAATAATGTCCCATCAGTGAGTAAAAAAGGAATGCTGTTTGTTTATTTCTAACCCATCAGAAATCACAGTATATTTTTTGACAGAGTTGGGAAACCATTTTTTGTTTGAAAAAAGGTCAAATGAATTGATCAAGTTGAAAAGTTACACTATCTACAACAATCACTTCAGTAATAACCTGAAAAGATTCAAAAACACAGCTATAGTGTACTAAGACATTTAACTTGTTTACCAAAAATAACGCAGTATAAATTTACTGGAACTTGTGGCGTCTCTACTATGAGAAGATTGTCACTATCATACAAAACTCGTGTAATAGACTGAATTTCAAAGTCATGCATAAGGGGCAGCACACAAATATATTGCAGATGAGAACTGGTGTTAAATAAGACTGCTTAATGTTGCCTTTCGTTCTTCTGGTTGTTGAGTGGATTATGAAAACCTCCACTTTTCAGGAAATGGAATACAATGGACACCTTGGATACAACTATGAGATTCGGACTTTGGAGATAACTTGGCCATTTTGTCACACACATGTAAGTGAAGACCATCGGTGTGGTAATGTCTTCTGCAGAAGTAGGCCTCAACATTAACAAGGAAGATATTAAGATTTTGAAGTAAGACATAAAAAGTATCAGTCAAATCACATTTGATGGTGAAGCTCTGAAAGAGGTTAAAGCCTTTACATACCTGAGCAGCATGATTGACAAATAGGAGGCATCTAGTAAAGATGTGAAGGTATGAATTAGCTAAGGAAGGGTAATATTCTTAGAAATGAACAATATTTGGACTCAAAAGAACTGTCAGCCAACAACAAGAATCAGAATTTTCAATATAAACGTTAAAATAGCTTTTTACAGACAATCAACACAGTTGTACATACGTGCGCGCATTTTACATTGTGTATGACTGGAAGAATTATACATTTTAAATTATTTAATTCAACTTGACACAAAACGTGATCTAATTAAGCAACATGTAGAAGAAATTAAAATGCTAACCATCAAAACAACATAATGGTACATTTTATTTACAAAAAAATAAAATAATGCATTCAAGAAGAAACTACACTGAGAAGAAAAACAGAATCAAGAATAAAGGAAGACATATGAACCATAATGCTTTGATTTGAAAAGTACATTAGTAATAAATATTGACATCTATATCATTCATATTAACTGTACAAAAACAACATCTAACATTATGAAAAAATTATTCAATAGGTGTAAAGATATACTACTTTCAACTGCTGAATAGCATCAGCTGAATACTACTACCACTACCAACTAGTGATATTTATATGATCTAGACAGTTAATTATCATAACTACCCTGACTAACATTAGTACATCAATTAACCTATGTTATTTGGATTGACTTTGTTTTTTATATATATTCACTTGGCTTTTGTTACAATAGATTAAGATTAATACCATTAAATGATACCATATATTTAATAGCTCGTTTAAATGCCTTAATTTCATATTTTTCCTCGAAAGTCGACGTTTATGTACCACAATCATCAAGTGAATTTTTTCATATGGTTGATTTATGTAACTAAAGTGTACTTGTGTATGCATTACTTTTACCGGTATTTATAAATATATAGCCTAACGATCTGTTGTGAAACTCATCTAAAAAGTTTAGCTTAAAAGTAAAAGAAGTCTATTGAAGCTGATAAAATCTACTTATCTAATTTTTCATATATTGATAAGAATAGACAAAGCTTTTAGTTCTTTATCAATCGTAGCATAACCATAACTATTTTTTTAAACAAAACTGAATAAATAAATAAATAATCTTAGGATATTCAACTTTACTCTCATTTAACATAATAACTTGAAAAATGTAGTTCTTAAAAACTTGTAAAATGTCAACTTTTACATTGTCTTTAACTTATCATTAAAGAAAAATAAATGCTTTGAATACGTGTACTTCATAAATATATGAGAAAATAATCATAAAACTATGCTTTAACTATTTTAGACTATTCATACTTGATTATTTGTGAAGATCAGAAGGGGGAGATTTCAGTATTTTCATAGTTGAAATCATGAGTCAATTGAAGCTAGACCACCATAGAAAACCTGGAAGCACTGGACGGCCGTTTCGTCCTATTATGGGAATCCTCAGCAGTGCGCATCAACGATCCCGCATTCGCGAGATTCGAACCCAGGACACGTTTATTGGGATTTTACATCACTTAATTGATGGATTAAAGCTTTATTATATAAGATAATAACTAATTTAAAATAATTTACAATAAGTCATGAGTAAAATGGTAATAAAGTGATTTTAATAACCTATCACATTGATAGTAAGAAAATTATTTATTATAGAAATTAAAACTATTTACAGATCATTGATAATTCATAAACCAAACTGAAGATAAACATTTAATGAAATTGTAAAAGACGAAAATGTATCATGAATTAAGTGATAAAGATAGCAATTTATAGCTAGAATTTCATAACTGGAAAGTATGAATAAATGAATTTAATAATGATCTACCCTATAAATTAATTAGATAATCAAAGTTTTTTTCTATTCAATGTTAATTGAAGATATTCTATATTATCTTATTTATTCAATTTTAATATGAAGAATAAACTATGAATAAACCCTATTACAAATAATCATTAGAATGCCAAATCCTTAGAATTTCTAATTCCCTAGTTTATATATATTAGAATAACATAGCCTTATCAAAATAAGATAGTATTACAATATAGACTTTGATATATTACTGATTAACATTAAAATCTTTAAATTCTTGACTGATGTCACAAAGATGGACTTTTTTAAATTTAAGAGACACTAGAAAAGTTAATGAAAACTTTGAAAGAATACATTTTTCTAGTATTTTTGTTACAATACAAGGCTTCAGCAAAAATACGGAACCATTTTTTAAAATGCACCGAAATCATGACACTGACAAGATATCTTCTCGACAATCGCCATTAAAATGTACAAAGTCAATGATGTTTATCCTTCCACACAAGCAAATTAATAAAATGTTTGGAATTCAAAAGAAAACATCACGACAATTATGATCATTATTAAGCTATTTCATTTATAAACTCCAACAATTGATTTTCAGTATATCCAACAGCATAATCAAGAAACCAGAACAGCCCAACTCTAGAAGGATGAATCGTCAGTGCAATTCTCTATGAAAATACAGTCAAAATCAGACTCTAGGAATATCGCAATCTTTTTTATGACTAGTTCATGGCTCAATGAGAGTGGTCAATGTGGGAAAATAACTTGATAAACTCATTTTCTAAAAAACTTATAAGTCTTAATAAAATACTCCTCACTTTTTAAAACTGAATTCTGTGTGGAATAAATGTTTTGACTAATAGATCCTTATGTAGACCAAGTATTATGATTGATGGAATATTACGAAGATTTTTGATTTTCCATGTTTATTTGTTGTTTACTTGATTGAGCTACGAATTTATAAGATAGATGTATCTTTTGATTGTTGATTTGATTCAAGTGATAGTGTACTATAATTTTATGGTTCGTAGCATATATAAATTCTTATATACATGGAGGGGAAACAGTTGTGAATAGGGCAAATTGGATTGTCATTATCAATACGAAAGTGATTGTCATTTCTCAGTTGTACATGGCCCGGAAAAATACTTTTTGTTGAGGGACCTAAAGTCAAAATGGATTAGGCATGCTCTTAATGACCTAAAAGTGCGAAGATAACATGCAAACGCCAATTATTTGAGACCGGATGCACATGACTATTTTGTAAGTGGTTCTTGATGTATTACCTCCGTAATTCTAATACCTTGTTGTCAGTGATGAAATTCGTAAGACAAGGTGAGGTGTGGCTTTTTTAGGGCCAACCTACTTTTAATACCATCTTTCCGTCGTGAGAAGTAAGCATAAGTGCAGATATTGGATGGTATAGGGAAAAACATTACTGCCGTCAAATCCCTGTACAATCGGTAGTACAACTGATCTAGGACTATGAACTTTTGTCTTTAGTTTCACTGCCTTTCACACAGCTTGCGTGATATGGTAGGACCTGAAGAGAAGAGTGTTTTGAGCAATCTAGATTGGGTCATCATGATAAATAAGCTCAAATACCATGACAAAGCAACAACTACTATTGGGCAAGCATAAAATCTTCAATTTTTAGTTACCTTCGGTATCTTTTTATACAATAGGGGTAACGTGGTCAGTAGGCCTCATCAGTTTGTATATAATAAAGAATTCTAACATAAATACCTTTCATTTTACATCATTATTTCATGGACTCGTTAACCTTGTGCTTACGCTAGTGAATGTTTCGTATAAAGGCTACAAAAACGACATTCATAAACATCGCCACGCTAATAAAATATGTTTTTTTTAATATCCAATTAGAACTAAATGCAATGAAATAGATCAGCAATGTACAAATGTGAATCTGGGAAAAATGTTTTATGTGAAAGTTGGTATAGTTTTGAATTTATGACTTACTATATGCGAATTAATTATGAAGACAGTCAATTACCGTTCAAAATTCACTTTCCTGATATTTATACTGAATGAAAGGGACCTAATGTTGACCGCAAGCAACAGCGACAGATAACTTCAGGTTTTTATGAGCAAAGCTGTCAAGAATTTACAGAAACTCAAATGTAGACTTTCCGAACACGTTTTCGTGGGACGAATCCAAGAGTCGCCGATTTTGGAAAGCAAGAGAATTGTTGACTCCAAAAATGTATCAGTCCTCAAGCCTCTCAGCTTGTTGTAGGTTCAAAACGACGACCACTTTACTTATCTCAAACGTTCCATCAACTCTGGTCGGTTAATATCTGACAAAATATCTGAACTGATACAGAAGGCTCGGTTAGCCCTTACCAGGTCTTACGGCTGGAGAGGGGGTAGGTGCGATGTTCGCCAGTCAACCAAAGGACGAGCTTATTGCGCGCCAATTATCTCTGTCCTAACACATGGCTACAAAACGTGGTCTTTAAAATTTGAGGATAACCATAGGTTACTAGTATTTGACAATAGATGCTTTCGAAACATTGCTCGCGTATGTTTGAACCACCGAGTGGAAAATTTCGAAGTTAGATGTAGGGTGTTAGGTAAAGATAGTGCATCGATTCATAAGATAATGATTATTCACCAAGACATTTAGGACATGGAATATGTATACTCAACCACTATGTGGTGTTTGTCGGTGTAGGAGCATATTAGAAGAAAGCTATTTTTGACCACATGAAAACGTGGTATCAGTTCATGAAGTCACTGACATTTGGACCGAGCCGTGTCGGTAGATTTACACTGTTTGGCCGGAGTCCACATGATTATCGTAATCCATGGTCGAAAATGTTGATTGACATGGCTCAGAATCAGTCCCAATGGTGCAGATGCATTCGATTTATGTCTTAACAGTTTAATACTTCTGCGAAATCATGCTTTCTTCCTATTTCATGTTGTCCATAACTAAACTTTTCTACTACCACTGATACTGTTACTACATCAACTGCTTTGTGATTTGTAATCATAACCTCACCATCCTGTGTAAATGCGTGACAACTTGGAGTAATTTAAATATGTGTCAGATTTTATATTTCGTACGAATGACTGACTAAAATCCGTCTCCAAAGTTCTGCAAAATCTGTGTACTACGAAAAGCCGAAACTTTGAACATAACAGCACGTTAAGTTCTGAAGCAAAGACGATCCTCATTTTCAGTTTCCTAAACCAGTCACCGAACTCATCAAATTTTGAAACAATTTAGTGAATTTTTCGGTCAAGATTCATCTTTCGTCGGTGGAAGTAGAATGGGGTCAAATGACCGTAGGGACCATGAAACTGTCGTCTCAGTTACCGACGCATTAATTCAGCTAGATTATTCCTCGTGGATGGATTATCTTTCTTATTTATAGCAACTTGTATGAACTAAAACAACTTACAGCTCATGCTAGAATAGTGACTGCTTTCATATCAATAGATGGATATCGTGGTCATCTCACAAGGTTTATGAAATAAAGGGGTTAGAGAGCCAAGGATCTTAACTACAATTCCTTTTACTAGAATGAATCACCGAGTAAGAAGCGAATCCGACGAACTTACATAACCTGGCATAAAAGAATCAACCAGGAACAACAACTGAACCTTCGATTGTCATTCCTTTATAGACTCGCATCACCAATAACTGATGATAGCAGGATAAATCTGAACATAAACCTTGGCAACAATTGGAAGGTCTCATGATGCAACTTGCTTTCGTTCTTTGTCGTTTTTGTTGGTTTACATGAGAAATATCAAGTTTTCTACGAAGAAAATGCCAGTCTATCATTAAATGGAGGTGTCAAGTGCAACGCAGTCAGTCATGATGGGTGAAAAATTACAAAATAGCAAAAGTCATGTCTTTTAATAATTCTGTTATAAATTGTATTCCAAAATATCTACAAGTGAGTGACTAAATAAACGAAAACATAACCGTAATTACTGACTGAGATACACTTAGATGACTTGAAAATGTTGAGTTTATCTGCAGCCCACACAGCTCTGGACTACAAACAGGGAGTTATTGTGCAACAAAAAATTTTAACACAACAAACACAAATTTCACAATGTTAGAAAATGAACTTCTGTGGTCTTAACAGCCAGGTCGGACGTCAGAAAACAACTGTTAATAGTCAAGATTAGAGTAGTAAGCTTTTGTAATATCCGGAGAGGCTCTATCTATCACTGTATTAATTAGCTTTCAATGATTTACGAAGAAGAGTAATCTGTTTTTATTTTTTATTTAAACACATAAATATTGGTACAAGGAAGCACCAAATACATATGCGCCTCACAAATCTCATTCGATTTGTGTGAGGGCTGTGATACTGCCCAGGTGCTCAAACTGAAGCAGGTGGTTTTCTTAGGGGGCCACACCCGGAGCCTTTGATCTAATGGTCTAACCCACAAGACAGTGGAGCATCGTGAGGATATGCAGTTCCATGGTAGCCGGTGACCGACGATTGGTTCATACGCCATTTGTTCCCTCAGGATACTGGAGCCCATGTGCACCATTGGTTTGGAATCAGGGTTTTCCAACTCCCCTAGGTGGATCCTCCACATCCACTAACCCGGTTAAAGCGCCGGACATTCGCTTTTCGTCCTCTCACTTTCGTAAACAACACCCCCGCCACGAGAAGGCAGTGAGTAGGACTTCCCTGGCAGAGGCTATATATTCGCTGGCCATGTGAGAGCATTTCGAGAGGGAGAGCAGACTATCCCCACTCTCGGCCGTACCAGGGCATTTGGGAAAATCTCTCTTTAGATAGTAAATTTGCGATTATGCTTCTTACTTTCATCCCAACTATACACAAAATTTTATCGGTCGAGGTAATCAGCATAAATCCTTGAGTGTTGAGGTTTTTACGCGTTTATCAACAGTAACCTGAGTAGATTTAGGGTGTGATGACTTTTTGGTGAATGCATCTCAGTAAGTGTTTGAGGGTTTAGTTATAGTTATCGTATGAAAACCATATGATTTAGTTATGAAATAAAGTGTGAAGTAAATTTTGGAAACGTTTTACCAATTCCCTAAATAAAAAAATTACCTAAACTTATAGAGCAGCCCATGAATGAAAATCATTTTTAATGTGGCACGGGAACATAGGACCATACTGATATATTTAAATCGATTAAATAAGACTTTGATAATAATAATAATAATAACTTTGACAAACCACTAAAACGAATAACCATAGAGTTAAAATTTCTATTCAGAGTAATAAAACGTCATAATATGACTGTTATGTGGAAATAAACAAACAAATAGACTTACTGTGATTTCAAGTAGCTGATTACCGAGAAATAAAACTTCTATTGGTTTAGAAATGGAACCCGATCGACTGTTAATAACACCAAGATACAGAAGGCTGACACGTGAGTACAAAACTATACACAAAAAGAGGAAATGTAAAATATCTATTGTGATACAAAAGTATGGAGATATGAATAGTAAGAAAATCGATCAGAAGCAACCGTAGCAACGAACCGCAACGTTCAAGCAAGAAATAAATATTTCGAGAAACCAAAGTTGGTATAAAATAATAATTTACAATAATTTACAACCATAAGGTTTATTTAGGTATTGCTATACTGATGATAGCTAAGTTTCTGTTACTTGAAATTATTTCAAGGTACCAGAAAGTATACTTCTAAATGCACTTATTTACAGTCCAGTAAATTGAACAGTGATACCCAATGACTTCAATTAAAAGATATTGGACTAAAAGTAATTTATTTTGATAAAATACAATCACAAATGAACAAACTTTTTGCCGAAAATAATCAAAAGAGAAAGGAAGGTAAGACTAGAAGCAGAGTTGTCTAGATTACAAATACATGAGAGATAGATTCGAACCAAAATATTCAGTGTATGACATATTTATTCATACACATTATTGTGGAAAATGTTATGTGAATTTCTACCTAATAAGCATTTTCTATGGGTACATCACAATTACTATGATGTTGTTTTGTTAACTGATCAATGAGTTGGAATGGATATAACTTACAACTTCATAAATGAAAACCCTTATAAACGATCAACCAAGAGACTTGGAATTTAGCATATGCACGTTAAAATGACCATGGAGACTAGAAAGCACTAAGTCGCGTTACCAAAAATTTTGATTACCTTGATTGATAAATTTATTTATGGAAATCAATGCGGCTGGTAACTTCGAAAACTTATTTGATGAGCTCAAGAAACCCATACCGTCAGTTGAATTTCCAGAAAATATTTGGTCAGGTTTGCAGTAAGGATCAAACTTCCAAAGTAAGCTTGAAATCTGAATTAATTCCATATCATCCGCATCAATAGTTGCTTTCAGTAAACTTCTTTTTTCGTAAGAATGAAGTATTATAGGTTCAAATGCATAATTATCAATTAGATCATTTCTACTAGTCGGATTAGATGTGACTTGAGAATAGCTGCAATATTCCGTAAGAAGTCCATCCGAAAATACTCTCAGATTGTCAACCTGAAGCAATAGTTACCAAAACATCTTATTTAAAAATAGTAAAATTAGTAAGGTCATAAAATACAGAAGACTTATGGAATCAAAATATCTAGAACTGGGTCAGCTAAAATTTACCTACTACATCAAAGGCTTTCTAAATCCTTCTAGGTAGTAGTCAAAGATTCATCCGAGTGAACACTTATTTAGTAATCTCCATACAAATCTAGCATACATTTTGGTTGAGTTATCCATCAACCTAAATTGGTTTTATCAAAAAACGTTTACCAACTGTGAATAGCGTGGATGAATATTTCAAGATTTTCACATACTTTACTAACTATTTCTATTGCAGTGGATTATTTACAAACTTCAGAGGTCTACGCAGGAAACTAAAAAGGTACTTAAAATATGCCAATAGTGATGATTTTAACACAATTATTGTGGAGCATATAATGTAATCGGGTAGATAGGTCGGTGAACGACGAATTCGATTACAAACCACTGAAACACGGTGTTTTTACACACTCCGCTTTTGATGTGAAGCTAATTAATACAAACAATGTTAATCTCAATCGATTTTCATCTCACCTAGGGGCACAGGCAATATTAGTGAAATATGTTGTTAGCCCCTAACTTTTTATTCTTGAGGCTGGTAACAAGTGTTAAAACGATGGGAAACTGCTTATAAAGAGTAAATAAAGGCACTTGTTAAATATAAAATACTTCTATCCAACTTCGAATGAAAGCGCTGAACAAAGTATGGAAAGCAAATCATTACGAAATAATGAATAAAATAGATTGTCAAAGGGCAGATAATTAGTTCGAGAAGCGCGAGCAGTTGTGGGACTCCTGGCAACGTTTACCGATCAACAAAATAGTTAACATAGAAACATGCTCTCTTTATCTAAAGGTAGTCAGAGAACGGCACAGATGTTTAATTAATGAACACATACTACAGACATCGCTTTCAAAAAACAATGCCGATGGTAGCGTAGCAACAGAGATCATGAAAAAATAACCATACTTTAAAACAGAACGTATTCAGATGGAAATATCTTACCTTCACAGAACAGGATAAAGGGTTGACTAGTTTTAATTCGAATGACTTTTTATTTTCATCCAGAGATTCGAGGTTGACGAAAGGTATCAAGTAATCGTCACTGATGTAGCTGGATCCGAACACCTTAACACTAAGAAATGACTAATGGAAAGAAACCTGATATTTTGCAACGCCTAATGACGTCTGGATATATATGGAAGTTTCAAAATCACCCACAGTATAAGGTAAAAATGTTATATTGAAATTAGCAGATGAAGCAGGGGAGAGCGCCTAAAGTATCTAGCATTAAAAAACGCAAAACGAACTGTCTGGTTGAATCTGGACCAAAATATGAATTGAGAAACTCCGAAAGTAGTGACGAGATCAATCGACTGGTCAGCATCAATATTGGTGATGGTGACTTCGACATGTTTAGGGTGAGAAAAAGGTCTGAAAAAAAGTCATTTTATGTACTGCTCATACTGTTCACCGAAATCCAGAAATGATGGCTCAAAGGATAATCCCGAAAAGAAAAAGAAAGCATCACCAGTACTAAAAATATTTGAGTTATCAAAAATGTCTTACCGGTCAGCTTCGAAAACTTTCAACCGACACTATTAGGAAATTAAATAAATATAAAAGCAACTTACGAAGTTGTCTATGCCGTCGACAAGAATTTGTACTTCCTTGTTATTCGCAATAAAACCTGTGGTATTCAAACTACTTGTCAGAGCACCACTTACCATTATAGCAGAATCCAAATAGTAATAAATAAATCGAAAAGAATGCTAAGCTTAGAATGAAGTGATTGGTTTTCCCAGCCGTATTGTATAAACCCATTTTAGGTAATATAATAAAAAACATCCACACGATAACGACCCCATTGACCTTGGAACTTAAAACGAGTTTAGTTTCTGACCCCAAAACATTGTAATGAAAAACAACGACATGGCCCAATATCGTAATTTCAATCACATTTGTGTTCATTGTCTATATCTTTTCTCTATATCAATTGTGAAAAACAGGTGTTATTGTTTGTATGTAACAAAAAACTATCGCCGTTATTTAAAATAAACGCTACTCTGTCGCCTGTTCTTCTACTTCATTGACCACAGTTTATGATTGGAGATTACAAAAGTATTATAAAACCCTTTGTGATGTTTGAATGAGCCAATAATTTTTTTGTATTAAAGACTGTTTGATTTTGGATTCCAAATACAGTACATTCGTTCGTGCTCCTCTAATACTTCTTGATTAAATTGCGTTATTGTTGGGATTACTAGTTCATACTATAATGCAAATACTCCAAATCATAACACCCTCTTAATTCGTTTTATACAACTCTGAATTTTTTGTTCATACTATTGTTGGCTAATACTATCAGCTTCATCTTTTTCATCAAGCTGTTGGTACAACCACGTGCAGAGGGATCTTCGTTAATCAAATGAACTTATTTGTGTTGTTACCTCAGTAGAATGACACATGTGACCTTCATTTCGTGACAGCTGTTATCATTTTGTTAGTTGGCCTTGAACATGGCTCATATTTCAGAATTCGGTGACCATCAATATGCAGAATTATTTGACTTATATGAACACCGGCGGGTTATATTCTTTTAAGTTCTTGTGGTTCATCTGAAGTTGTCATTGAAGGAACTGGTACTCACAGTGGGTTCACGTGTCTAACATGCAATTGGGCAAGACAGAGTGGCAAAATTTTGGTTAAAATAAGGATCAATGAATTTATCTATTCTAATTAAAGTTACGGTTAGTTTGTTAAGTTTGAAACGGTTTACTTGGTTGCAAGAAGATTTTATCGAACACATTACCACTGAACCGTGATTGGATCAAGTGATACTACTTATACTAATGAATTACCAACAAAAATTCTTTTAATCCATGAAAATGCCTAAAATTTTATGAGTTCTGGACAAACAGCTGAAAGTGGCTACTCCAGATTGACTAACAAGTTTCCAAGCATTTTACCAAGTGTGCAAATGATAGAAAAGGATACAAAAACTATCTATATAATGTGATGACAACCACGAAAAAAAACACCATTTAATAGCAAATATAAGTCAACTTACCACCGAAGCTTTGCTAACAATTTAATCAGTTTTGTCATTCATATTACATGACTGTTATCTCATGACAATGCTTTATGGTGAAATCTAGAGACCATTATGAACGACTAGTTAGGGCGTTGATTGAGTATTAGCTTTGCTATAGCATTGTTATTTTAGTGTTTAATACATATGATGGTTCGGAATACATCAACGCCAAGAGATTCGAAAACTTTAGAGATTTAACGTGGTTTGTACGAAATTAACTAATTCAGGCTGCGTAAGTGTATTACAAACCATGATGCTGAAGTATTTGCTGACTTAATCTTTTATTGTATTTGTTGTTTGAAGCTTGCCTTCAACGTCTGGGGACGCAAAAAATCAGTCCCTGGTTACATATCTGCATCATATGTGGATCACCAAACGTTTTTATAAGCATTTTAGGCGGAGATAGATAGTGTTATCTGGGATGAACGTTTCGTCTTGTTTGGGACACGTCATCTGGATGTGCCTGCACCCCAGAGTTGATGTTCACTCTGGGACCTGAATTCAATAATGTTCACTCCAAGCGCTATCGTGTTATCCACTTATCTACTGAGTCCAGACAACCACTAGCCTGTTCAAAGAGGTAAATTTCATATTACGGAGTAATCAAGAATTCAGAGATGCAGGTTAATCCGGCTGATGAGTCCCGCGTAGAGCGAAATGCTCATTCCGGATTTCATTGATAGCCACCATCCTTTTTCTCCACGATTAACCAGCCTGATTTAACAGCAGGCTGTATAGGTTCAGTTTTTGGCATTTTTGTAACTAACAATTAAATGGTAATTAAATTACCACGTTAGTGCAGTACGATAACATTTTTGGCGGTGACTTTCTATTACCTATGGTCTCAGCTACTATAAATGTCACTTTAGGCAGCTAATTTAATGGCCGAATTCATTAACACCAATATGTATGACAATAAAGATTATGATGGGTTTGGTGAAAAATATCAGCAACGTTTAAAATAATTTCTAAATTCAAATGGCGCAAGCTGGGCTTAATTTTTAGTCGATGTAGTGTAAAAAAGTTGAAAACACTTCTTGACAAAACTTGAAATGTGAGGCATGACTAATGTTATTACGGTTAGGAACAAGACAGATAACACATACTTTCTGTAAGCAGTTACTATAGTTAGCTTGGTAACATTTTTACATATGCTGAAACGACAACCAGAACTAAGAACTGATGAACTAATGATGAGTCTAATATACTTCGCCTTAAAACAACATGCTTTTCATGATAGTTTGTTGTCGTATGAAGCTGTTAAACATAATTTCTGATAAACATGGGTTCGGAAGTGATATTTATACAGAACGATTTCTTTAGCTGATCACAGCGAAAATATATACATGCTGAGAAGTATCGTAAATATAGTAATAAGGGATAGATCAAAGTTGATATTTCATCAACATATAAATATGATCTAGGTCGGTATTATGTGCGTTTACCTATCCTACCATGATAACAGAAGTATTTCACGATTGGTGATTTTTCATGACGTGTCTACCCTACCTATCAGACCTCATGTGAATGTCACATCACGATATATAATAACTCATCCTACCATGCAGTCAGTAGTTATAACTAAGGTTTTCGGAGGCATATATTTGAGCTGAAAAGAGAATGAAATATTTAATATTTAAAGCAAGATCTTATGTAGATTGACCACACCTGCATGTCTGATCTTTAATATTCTAAATAAAAATCTCACACGCTTACCATGTTGGCCCATTCCATGTATTAAGTGATGAATATAGGTCTCACTTATAATCAGTTCAGCTCCAAAGATCGGAGTCAGACAAAGCTTCAGAACCCCTCCCTTTCTATTTCTTCTGATCTTTGGCTAGATTATGAAGACCTCCACATCTAAGAGGAAGTACGAAATATAATGAACAGCTTCGATGCAACAGGCTGGATTCCGTAAGGTTCGGTCGTGTACAGACTAAATCACAACATCGTTAAGCAATCAATTGAATGATACTTGTCACTTTACATCAACTTCCTTGACTATGAGAAAACGTTTGACGATGTTGATAGGAGAACCTCATGGAACCTTCTTCGACACTGTGGTGTACCCGATAACATCCCCAACATCATCTAGAATTCGTATGATTGACTGCACTGTAAAGTTGTGCATGTAAGACAGCTGACAGGTGCATTCCAAGTGAACATCGGAGTCAGATAAGGCTGCTTACTCTCCCACTTCCTTTTACTTCTAGTGGTTGATAAAATTATGAAGATCTCCATATCCAAGGGGAAGTACAGAATATAATGGACAGCCTGGATGCAACTAAACGATTTGTACACAGAAGATCAACTAGTTCTTCTATCCCATACACACCAACAAATTCAGATGAAGACAACTAGTGTAGTAAATGCCTCTGCATCTGTAAGCCTCAACATACACAGAGGAAAAATTAAGATCCTCAAATACAACACGGAGAACACTAAATTAATCACACTTGTTGGACAGACCCTGGAACAGGTGGAAAATTTCACGTAGCTGGTCGGCAATATCATCAATGAAGAAGGAGGATCCGATGCAAGCGTTAGGGCGAGGATTAGCAAAGAGAGGATAGCATCCCTAGAGTTGAAGAACATATGGAACTCAAAACAACTGTCCGCAAGCCATTATCAAAGTGAGAATCTTCAATACGAACATCATAACAGTTCTACTGTACGGAGCTGAAACTTGGAGAACTACTACAACCATCATCAAAATAGTACAAGTATTTGTAAACAGATGTCTACTCAAGATACTCAAAATCTGTTAGCTGGATACCATCATCGATAGCTTACTCCGGGAGAGAATAAAATAGCTTTCATTTGAAGAGGAAATTAGGAAAAGACGTTGGAAGTGGATAGGATAAACATTGGGGGAATCATCAAACTGCATCACTAGGCATGCTCTAACTTGGAATCGTGAAGAGAAACGAAAAAGCGGAAGACCAAGGAACATTTTACAACCGGAGTTGGAGGTAGATATCAAAATGATGAACAGCAACTATAGATTACAGGAAATTAGAGCGTGGAACAGAGTTCGATAGAAAATCGGGGTGGGTGGCTCATTCTCCTTAACGAAGGATCACAGGTTTGAGCAGATAGGTAAGTTCAAAGATCATGTGGTTAGCGACGAAAGTCACTACCCTGAGAAATAAATATTGTCGATTTATCACCATTGAATACTAATTACTAAGCAAGAAAGTCACTTATTCCCGGTTGAAGTGCATCCAGGTATTTTGCGGAATATATTTTTTCGCAGCTACTAATAATACTAGTTTTCCCACTGAACGCATTTGTTTCGTAAGGTATTTTAAGACATCGCTTTCAGTCAATAAAAGCTTGTACACAGCAACCTACATATCACAATAGATTTTTATACATTAATCTAGGACAATCTGGTTTTTCTCGCCTCTTACCGTTTTTGTTTTATCATTATCCTTGCTATCGAGGCATTGTTAGAGTACTTCCACCCTGTTAGCCGACCAAGATTCAATACCGAACAGATTATAAGTGACAATATACTTTCATCATTACAGCTAATAGGTATTACGTCATAAACGACCTTTGAGGTGATATAATATATAGCCTTCAGATATGTAACAATTTTATGTCTTTACAAATGACTGATTTTCAAGTTAATTATAGAAGCTATAGCACGAAACTGTTAAGTGGCGTTCAAACGTTTCTGATGCACGAAAAGTACACAGGTGAGTTGATGTGAGTCAGAGCTAAACACTGAATTTACTCTCGAGGATACACCACATTTGATGCACAATCTATGGAACTCATTAACAAAAAAGCCACGTCAAACTAATACACACATATCTACGTCCAAAGGGGAGGAGTGGAACTGTTACACGAAGAAACTAAATAACGACGTTCAAATGTTCGTGAAGTCAAGTTTTTTATTTTCTAGATTACAACTATGAGAATGGACAACTTAGAAAATTAGAAGTTAAATACCGAAGCCAAACAGAAGCGTTCAGACAAATAGAAACTGTATCTATCATTGTACAAATGATTGATGTTAGAGAATAGAGAGAAATTATCATAGCCTTTCTCTCGTCAGTCAAGTCCAAAACGGAATGTACACTTATATGTGACAGATATTAACCGAAAAAATCTCATTTTATAGCAGCTTGGGTGCAACAGCCAGTGGTCAGTATTTTAATGTATAACAGTGTTATCTGAAAATAAGTAACAATAATTAACAAAATTTGTGTATCTATTTGATATTGCGTGTCAGTCACAATGTATGTAAACGTCAGATTTATGTATTAATAAGTTTCTATCCTACCAAAGTTAGGGTATGCGCGCCACAATGATAGATATTGGCATGAACATGTAATCCCACTGGTTTTAATATCGCTGCCTCAGTTTTTGTGAGATAAATTCGAGACAACGCTCAAAGTAGTTCAGGCGAAATGTAAGATATAACAATAGAGAATTTTCAGTTTAACAGGAAAGAATTATCTTTTGTGGTTCGATGATCCAAAATAACATTGAGCTCCCTACTGTATGTGCGGTAAGACAAGTCTTTCCGCTCCTGTCCTCATGCCGGGCATCTCCTATTGAATCTAGATTTCCTACCCAGTTTTAGCAATCCTATATTGGCCTTTGAAGTACTTAAGATTGATACAGTTTGAGGGATTATGGTCGATAAACTTTAAATCAGTGGACCGGGCTGAAGATGTTTCATGACATGGTTCCCCTTACTGTTCATTCAAACAAGACAGGACAATAAAAATGTATCCAATTATTTCTTCAGTTGTCTTTATCTATTTTTAAAAGTAGATCATGATCCTTGCGGAAAAGTGAAGTCACTGTCGAAGTCTTAAATAGTTGGCAATGACTTTCGAATGTTCTATTGAGGTAGTCCAGATAACGGATAGGACATTTCCAAAGAGAAAATAGGCTGACATAGTACATCTATTAACATCAATTGTCCGGTTAGATAGAAACTGATTGGTTTAAGAAGTTTTGGACAATATAAAACATCAAATGTGTTACATACGAAAGAAGGATAAATGCATTGTAACGAATCAACAAAGCTCGTTTTGGATCGATACAGTTGTAGTCTTAAAATGGTACACATCATGCGTTATAGTTGTTTCCTTTGTATTTTGGAAGCAGAATGAAAACTTTTCAGATCATCTGCAAGATGATTCAATGTAATATATCTAACAAAGTGATTCAGCAACGAAAGTTCTTGACAATGTAATTAAGTCAAACATAGTAACTGGAAAGAACTAGAAAGGAAGGCTCAGGACAGAGTTGGATGGAGAATGCTGGTGAGCGGCCTATGCTCCTCGACGAGGGGTAACAGGCGTAAGTAAGCAATTAAGTAAGTATACTCAGTTTAACGCAGGTCAAGTATACTGGATGAATTAGTAAGACCAGACAAGGTTGTTGAAGAATAGATCCATTAGGTATTTGGATGCGTTTTATTCTCCTTTCTGTCATCAAAAATGGTCACTAGTTCAATTTCAAACCTTACATGAGTAATTTTCATGTAGCCATTTTCATAAATAAACTGGATCTGTTGAGACAAGCTTATAAAATATAGTAAAATAATGTTCCTTATGTATTCACCTTATTTTTAGTTAACCTATCTTTTCTTGTTGGCTAATGTATCACACACTGAATCTAAATAAAGGACCGTTGTTATCTGTGTAAATATAAACTTTGAGACGTGAAAGTTTTAGAAAGTATGTAACCATCCTGATACTTCTCTAATCGACTCAAAAATAATAACAGCAAATTTTGTTTTGAGTTTCGCTTCCTCGATATATAGTATTGTGTGTGAATATATTACAATAAATGTATGGTAAGACGACTGTTATTGCATAGTGTTTTGTTTGTTTGTCTTCCTAGACTAAGGCCAAACCTATGATGTGACCTTGGCTATGGTTTAAAATAGTGTCGTAGAGTACTGGTAAAACTCACTTGTGCTACGTCGTACTTTTCGGTTATAGGTATAACATCTATTCACGTGGAGATATGGTTTTTTGTTGTATATGTTTTTTATGTTTGTATTTGTTGTTTATTTCAGATGTTTTATAAAGTTCAGTTATAGAGGATAGAATTGTATATGCTGTTTACTGTAACGTTATTTTGTCGTAAAATTTTTTGCCTGAATCATGTTTCTCCTTAATGATAAACTGTTTTTGATGGCTTTGTCCAGCCCATAGGTTGCGTGACTCTTTCCAAGATTTAAGAATAACTTTGCTATCAATAGATAGCAACAAACCAGACGTTACTACGAACTTGAGTGCCACAAACAACAGCTATTAATTTTACTGTCAAATGTAACTGACATTTTCTCACATGAAGGCCTACGGCCAGCAAGTTCTGTAACTCAGTTACAAATGCATCGGTCATGTCGGTGAAGTGAGGTGGTTGTACTTCACAATCATAGATACCAACTGTGAATAGTACACTAAAGAATGGAGCTACTAAGCGACCTATGATCGGCCACAACTGTCAGTCAGAGCTTTCGAACAACGACAGGCTGTCGTAGTTGGGTTGCAGTTCCAGTTCGGTGGAACTGATTTGGCGTAGCCAATTTTCAGAAATCCTCAGCAAACGTCTTCGTAGTACAATGTGGTAGTATACTCCTATGTCCAGAAACTTGTCTTCCACATTATGATAACGACTAAGTACGCTTCGGACGGACATGGGGAGTCCAGGAATGTACACCCGACAAAGGTCCAGAACTCCATTAGCCTTCTTTACAGTTATGTCACCTTTCATCATCTCAATTACAGCTCTAACTTTTGCTCCACTTAGAGATGAGCAGGTGTAGATACTTTGGTAGTGACGCCATCTACAATTTCTTAATAAACAACCATAGGATATACTGTTTGCTGCACTTTTTGCACAATGAACATAACTACATGGGGCAGTGGCTGATTCTGGAACAATACTGCTACAAATGTGGTGTGAAACCGACGCTTCTCGTATTTATTTGACGTTCCAAAACAAAACCTAAACGTCGGTAATGTAATGTTAACTGAAGTTCAGGATCATATTTGAAATTATTAGTGATTGTAATTTCGTCCTAAAATGTTTTTAAAAAATGCACTGTGCAACCTGGATTTTGGGGTTTTTCCCTGAAATTTCCTCAAACATTGGAGCAAATTAGAACACGATCATTGGACTCTGGGGATTTCCCCAAAATAGAGAGATTGGGAATGTTCCATGAAATAATCCTATTCAGTAGTTATATGAATAAATTGATAGAAATTACTTCAACTTAAGCGACTCCTAAAACGATCGTAGTTAAGTTATTTTAACTTCCAGTTAAACAGAAAGTACATGGAACTATTTTGTTTCAATAGAAAAATCAATTAAGATTGTGGTTTTTACATTACTTAATATCGTCAGAGCATTTATGAATTTTGTTTTGAGTCTTTCATGTTTAGAACAAAAGAATCTAGGCACCTTTTATACTTATAAGGATTATTTTTGAGCCACGTTGCCGATGGTAACTGGGTTGTACTTTTTAAAACTGACTAACAACTATGCATAGATCACATCACTTGTATTTTCATTGACGAACCATAAATACTTCCCTGAAAAATAGTTTTCATTGTTGCTTCGAACCTAGGATTTTATGACAACTCGCATTAAACAGTCCTACTGGTTAGTAATTATTTGCATCCAAACAGTTAATAATCAACAATGGTTTCATTCATGGGTTATATATCTAAAACTATTCCCATTCCTGACTGGTTCTCCCGTATGATTTAGTCAATATGGTATCTGAAAGAGATACCATAGAGTTTTCTGTTACTTTGTAAATCAGAAAGTTACATAATTTTTAAATATAACGGCCTAAACACTGATACCTGTGTAAATTTTTTTATTTATTTCAACACATAAATATGGGTACAAAGGGGGCACCAAACACATATACGCCGCACAAATCTCATTTGATTTGTGTGAGGGCTGTGATACTGCCCAGATGCTCAAACTGAAGCAGGTGGTTTTCTCAGGGGGGCACATCCAGAGCCTTTGACCTAAAGGTCTGATCCACAAGGCGATGGAGCATCGTGAGGAGATGCAGTGCCATGGTGGCCGGTGACCAACGATTGATTCATACGACATTTGTTCCCTCAGGATACTGGAGTCCGTGTGCACCATTGGTTTAGAATCAGGGTTTTCCAACTCCCCTAGGTGGACTTTCCGTGTCCACCAACCCGGTTAAAGCGCCGGACATTCGCTTTTCGTTTTCTCAATTTGGTAAACAACACCCGTGGTACGAGAAGGCAGTGAGTAGGACTTCCCTGACAGAGGCTATATACGCGTGGCCATGTGAGAGCATTTTGAGAGGAAGAGCGGACTCTCCCCACTCTTGGCCGTACCAGGGCATTTGGGGCAAGGTGATTGCGAACGCACTTATTACATATCTCCCGATCGGTTGTCTTTAAACTGACTGCACGAGAATCAAAGTATTACTCTAATCAATCCTACTAAACCATCTTTACAATTATGTCTGAAGAATCTCTTAAATCCATCTCAGCGTGACTCAAGATTACTGTCCTACTTAATAATATTTTGCAGATTTCCTCATAGCTTTTGTAAGCAGCCCTCGGTTTGTCGAACGTTAAATTGCCTTCAAAAAGTTAAACATTAACCAAATAAAAATATTTGTCCTACAAAGGCACGAAAACATAAGATCAAAAGTACAACTCTGTATCTACTGCATTTCCAAGCCAAGGTATTCAAAGTGGTAACGGAATCGTAATTCAGTTCATGGCTAACTGATCCCTGGTTTCACTTGGATAGAAATATTTATTCTGCGGTCTGTATTTTATGTTACATGGATCATAATTATAGCTACCAACATCCTCCAATATTTGTCCGTTATGAAAAACGTACTCCAACGTTGACCCGATTGAGAGTCTGTAGTCTAAATCTCTGATATTTCATTGGAGATGGGAGTCTGTCAACATAAATTTACTGCTTTTATGTACGAAAAGTGGTGGAGTTTAATGTACTGACATCCATTTAATGTGTGATAGTCAACATTTTTATCTTCGTAATGTAAACGTATATCACATTAACAAGTATATTATGATATTAAAAACAGAAAATAACAATAAACCTCAAAGAAGTAGTCGATCTGTATTTCAGTTATGGAATTGAGTTCTTAGACCAGTACATTTCAGACCAGTTTATTATTGAGAGCAGTAGAATTTGTATTAATATGTGCGTGTAAACAACAAATTTTATTATATGAGCTCACATTTGTTCTGTTGTTTTTTGTAGAACAGCTTTGGTAATGGATAGATATGACCATGTGGAATCGCATTCTGGAAGTTCGAAATCGTTCATTTATCTTGTCATTATATCACAGGTTTATCAATCATAAAAGCAGCTCAACTTTCTTTTAGATTTTTGGGTTACTTGCCGTCATTTTGACAGCTGTTTGGTTGGGAAAATACTGGGGTGGTTTCAGTTGGACTAACGCCAATACAGTCTTCAATTATCATCCTCTGTTCATGGTCTTGGGTCTAGTGTTTTTATATGGCGATGGTAAGTGTGATGCGGAATTATGTATATTCTTCACGATATATATAACATGTTCATTTAAATTTCGTCCGTTATTATGAATCATAGATGGTTTTGTATGTAGCCGTGGGTATTAAGTCAACCCAAAGTTTATTAGTATTTAGTAAAACCTGTTATCAATTATATATAATTCTATGAAGACATCATTTGTCTAGTTGAGGAGCAATAAGAACTATTGGCGCATGATGATTCGACAAACTGTTTCTTGTCTCTCATATTTCATTAAAGAAGTGTATTGCGGTGGTAAAACAATTGCATGACATTCCTCATAAGTAAATGCAATGTCCAAAATATAGTCCTCACAATTTAGAAGATATCTGTATGTATTATGGACTCAAAACTATAATTATAAATTGTGGAAACATTCTCTTGGAACCATTGTTTTATAATACGACTTTCCATACCTTATTTATTAATACAAAACAACCCAAGCTTATTTCAGCTGAACTAGCCAGTGGCACATCATCCTGAAGTGGTTCATAATGTAATTATACCATCCAGATGTCAAATATAGAATAAATACGGCTATTATTTTTGAGGCTAATTTTATAATTTGTAATAATAATGAACAGGTTCTAAGTTGTTAAGATGAATCATGCTGACCAAATAATGGTGTACCGTTAACCAATTTACTTGAGTGATTACTGCTCATAAATCCATCCGGTTTACTGACGTAAGCTCCCAGTCAATCAGAAACTAAAACATAAAATGACTAGCTAGTAGGAAAAAAATTTCCAGTAGTATAAAATGTTTATGTGTGAGATATTTAATGCTAAAATAAATATAGATATCATTTTGGAGTTAAGCAGCGAATGGATATAAGTCCTATAGATCGATCATTTTAATGATTTTAAGACGTGTCTTCCTCGTTATATCAGTAATACATAGAAAGAGTAGTTTCAATTTAGTGTTCATTCTGTCCTTATTGGTTGGCAGAGATGAGTCATATTGTACATATATATCTGTCCTAGTAATCGGCTGTTATCATTCGATATCACAAAATGGTTGAAAGTTCTATAATTTCAGCAACACTAATATTGCAAGGACGTGAAACTGATGTACATTGTAAAAATTAAAAAAAATTGGGATAAAAGTGCAATGTATAAAGAATCAGTATTTCTTAAATATGTTGTGTGAATGACAAACCACTTTTTTTGTATTGTATATTCAGATTACCATAGATTACATACAACCGTACCTTTTATTTTTACGTCTATGATATAATTGGGTGTTGGACTATTCTTTCAATTTTGTATAACGTTAAAATCTGTTTTCACTTGTGTGGTTTTGTCCGGCTCTAAAGACCTGATCTGTCAATAAAATTATCATATAATTTATAAATGGACTAAATTGACCATAAAAAAAATTTCTGTGTTGTTATGTACTTTGGAGATTATTTTATAATCTCATTGTTGATTCTTTCAGAGCTGCACATAGCAAGATGTTCCGAAACTGCCATACTTCTTTTAAGCATTCTAAGTCGATTAATAGGAAATCTTTTGTTGTTATCGATTTACCAAAGTAAAATAATTAGGATTCCCCCAATCTTCATCATAAAGTGTTATTAGCTGAAAAATCGTTAAAAAACAAAAACCACCGAATGTATAATTCATTCCAGTTTGAGACTGATAAATACTCTATTCTTGCAACCCCTCATCGGCTGTATCCAAGACTTCCAGTTCTCGCAAGTCGAAATCCGAAAAATCTGTAGTCTATTATTATCATCGTACAGCCATCCAGTACTATTGGTAACTGGTTCCCTCTTTAGTGACAAATTATGACTTCTCATTAAACCAAAAAACTTTGTTCTCCCTAAATATTTGAATGTTGTACCGTACTTCTAAAATTTATCAGTGATATCAAATATCTAGAACTGTGTTACTATTGAGCAAATGTTAGCTCAGATAAAAAAGAAGCTCTATACATAGAGTTCATTTTTTATCTTCTGGAGAATGAGTGACCTACAAGCTAGTTTCTTCCAATATTCCACAACATTTTATCATGTTTATGTTGTATTATATATATGAACATGTTGTTTTATAACATGAAAATCTTCATTAGGATAGTGGTTTTGTCCTTGGTGTTTAATCATTCGGTGGCTTAGGACAACCTTCCTTCCATAATAGAAAATCGAGTGTACCTCTTTCATGCTGTTTTTGTGATTCAGGCTGTTCCATTCAGCCGTAACAAACACTGCTTTCACCATGATCTCAGTAAATGCATCTACTGACCAATGTATACGTTTTCCAACTACTTATTATAGCCAGCCAGTAATATATTTTATTTCATTGATATTTAGAATCCGCTAACATTTCTGGTCAGGAGAATTTGTTACTAGATAACTGTCTATCGTTTTAATATATTAGCTTTTATTGTACAATTTGCAAATAATTATGTAAACTGTTTTTTGTAAACATTTTCCTATTGTCAGTGGTTTTATTTCAAATGTTTTTTTTCTCTTTTTTTCAAAAAAAATTGATCACAGCAATTTTAGTATATCGTGTATTTCGATCATTCCGAAAACTACCAATTAAAATCCTACATGCTGTCCTACATATTCTTGCATTTTTATTCGGTGTTCTAGGAATTAAAGCTGTATTTGATATGCACAATGCTTTATTAATACCTAATTTATACAGTCTTCACAGTTGGTTAGGTATAACAGCTATTATAGTGTTTGGATTACAGGTAAGACGTTTAATGAAGATCTACATCCATTTGTATTCATAGACGTAGTTGTGAAAAAATCTTTGGCTTTTTTTCATAAATCAGCAACATGTAACGTCAGCAAGATAATACCTGCTTTAAATAAGGGGGTGATAATGTAATACACTGTTATCCCATTGTGACAACCAAACTGTCCTCATGCTTATTAATTAAAATTGTGTTGCTTTTGGCTAATGATTGATAAATCATCAACACCTTAGCTGATTATACTTTAGATTATAATAGGCTTATAGAAAGAGGTAGAATACATACTGTTAAAGCTAATTAGATCACATTTAACTCTTATTCAATATATTTGTTAAAGTCAAATATGAAATACTTTTGATTATCCCTTCGTCGATATTATTGACTGAAACCTGATCTTACATGGTTGGCATATGGGTATCCTGAAGTGAACATCTAATCCAGATTGTTAGTGCATCCAGCCAAGTTCCGAATAAGACGAATTGTGTCAAAAGGGTCTAGGTGGTGTATAGACATTGAAAATGTACTTTTGTTACGAATTTCATGAGTTCTTGATAAGCAAAAATAGTTACTTAATGGGTTTATTACAATTGCTTGAAACACTCAAGTAGTCTATAAAGAGGTCATGTTGTCTATTTTGTTTTTTCTGTAGAAATATAAGCATTAGGTTGATATTAAAATATATTCTGCACATAATGGCATAAAATTTTTTTCAAAAAGCATAACAGTCAACTTCTTGATATTTTGTCCCATCAATCATCAATTGATTAAAAACTTCATCAATGATGTCTTTTAAAGTATCAATAATGAATTAGTTTGACTAGGTCAGATGACTCATGATGAATCCTCTTGGATACCTTTACTCATTCAAATTAATTTGAAGCTGATCTAATTCAATTTCCATTGTATGAAGTCTAGAGGTACTATGTTTTCTAGTTTACGGATGATAACAGTTATTAATAAGTGTTGCAATAATGAACCCATTGATATTCCGTTCGTTTTCCTGTAGATTTTATCACTAAAATGAATTAGTTTGACAGTTTTTTAACAATTATTCCACTTCAACCAATAAAATCACATGAACGGTTTAGTCTTTCGGTCAGTGAAATGTTTCAGTGATGAGACTATACCTAGAAAGGACATTAGCTAATCAGAGCAATGAGTACGACTAGCAAATTTAAAACAATCATTGAATGAACGATGAAACTTGCATTTTTTTCAACCTCATATTCATTGACTATTTGATGGTAAGTTGAACATTTTATAACGAAAATAATTTGAGGCGATATTTCTTTGTATGTTTCAAATAGCCCATACAATCAAATAATATATAAAGTGGATGGTCGGAATACTTCAAACAAATCAGGATTTCTGACTGAATTCAGATTTTACTTAACGAAAGTGGAACGGTCAATTGTACCATTTTCTCATATATAGATTTTGTCTCATCAGAACTGCTAACCTTTTGTCGAGGTAATAATAGTCACTCTAGTTCATAGAAATAAAATTAACAATCTTATACTCCAAAAAATAACTATTAACAGCCTTATTTGAAGATTTGTTTTAAATTTAATATTTCCTCTCCTATGAATCAAGTTTTCCGAAGATCAAATAATCATAAAAATTAGCGATGTACTTTTAAGTAGATTTCATTCAACCGTGTTTTAATTTCGTAATCTATTCATTTGTTTTCGTTTGATTCAATCTAGTGGGTTGGAGGTCTAATTGCCTTTCTGGTACCTCAGACACCCCAAGTTACTCGTGCTAAACTCCTTCCTATACATGTTACACTAGGAAGTTTTTTATATTTACTAATGATTGGTGTATGTATCTCTGGAATTACAGAAAAGAACTTTTTTTCAAAATCGTAAGTGTCATTTCAAAGAAATAATTAGCTACCTATTTTCATCATCTTTTTTATAATATACAGTATCATTATTCATTCTTATATCGCTTACTCAGTGGTACTTCCATATCAGAATGGATTTAACTTTTATTATGTAGCGTTTAGGTTAAAACATAGCTCCATTTATTTCAGTTTAAGCGACTGAGTATTATTAGTATTTGGTATGCAAAAAGTCTGCTTTAGAGCTAAGTTTATTCATAACGGTTGCAATGGCTCAGATCTGTTCACAGTCTATTTTCTATTAAGTGTTAGTCTTCAATGTTACTTTGTACTTTTTATGTCTCGAATACATACGTTCTCAGTGAACTATGTTCTCAAATGTTTCATCTTTTCACGATAATTGATATTACCGTTATTTCGTCTCTTTTTCTATTTATTTTCTATTTCATCATATCATACTGATGTGGTGTTGGAACTTGGGCTGACGCACATTTTTAGTAAGCTGTATGTTCATTATGAATGACTAATTGCTTTATTCTTAGTTTAGTAAGATATGTATAATCACAGTAAGTAACTCGGCGAAAAGTATTCACTATTGCTACAAGTTTCCGTCTTATATCTAATTAACCTGTAAATTTTGTAAAGTGTGTATTTAAAGATTTTGAACAGTGATTATTCACTGTTAGTTTTCGCCTTCAAATTGGTTTGTCCTATTTTACTCTACCAGTTCTATTGTAATTTCTTTTGTTCTTTTGAATCCACGTACGAGGTGATAAATAGACAAACAAACATAGTGGTTGCTCTTGAACTTTTTTACTAATCAAATCTGTAATAGGTTGTAAGCCTTTTAAAGAAAAGAATGAGTACATAAGGTTAACATGTGCAATAAGTCAATAAAAATCTCAAAAAGAGAACTTTATTGTAATATTTGCACAGTTGAAAATATGTTATCCAAAAGTTTGAACACTGGATCATGGTCTAGTTATTATGTATTCATGTCATGATTACAGTTAGGTCTATAATAAAAGGTCGACATTTATCTCTCACGCTGTTTTGAGTTAGAAGATTGACAGTCCAAATGGAAAGTAAAGTATATCAGAAAATTGGACTAAAAAATTATCTATTCACGGTTTGAGATTTAGTCTTATATAAGTCATTAATTTCACTTATGTCTCTGATGAAGGGTAGTCCAATTGACAAGAAAATTCGTACTATTGAAATTGATATTATGTCAAATAATGATCAATAGGTCACGAGAAATTTCATTTCCAACAATGTATTTTGGATTTGTAGTGTAGGCGTTAAACCATCCATCGGTTTTCAACCAGTAGGTCCCCCAGGCTCAGACAACGTTTCTTAGATATCAATCTACACACTGGGTTAATATCTTTAAATGTCCCACATAAACAACTTAACTCTTAATTCTTTCGTAAGGTAAAATTAAAACATAATCTTCAATTAAATTCAGTTGATATTGTTTGTGTGAATCTTCCCATTGATGTTTAGGACTGCAATTGACCAGTCTCTTATTGGCACATGTGCATACTGTGCGTATTGCCTCGATATAGCCTTAATTCACAAGCATTATGAGCAAAGATGGATGGTGGCTTGCAGTGGAATCCAGGACGCACGTTTCCTCCTATTTGAGATTCGTCAGCTGGACATACCTGCACCCCAGAGTTGATGTTCACTCCGGGACTCGAAACCAGTACCTTTCGCTTCAAACGCCACCGCATCATCAGGACTCAGTAGCTAAGTGAATAACGCGATTGAATTTGAAGCGAACGGTACTGGTTTCGAGTCCCGGAGTGAACATCAACACTGAGATGCAGGCACATCCAGCTGACGAGTCCCAAGTAAAACAAAACGCGCATCCTGGATTCTACTCCTAGCTACTATCCATCTTTGCTTATAATAATCTTCAATTATTTCGATTATTTTTTTTCGTAAATCATCAACAGTTACATCAATTTAATTGTTATATATTTTCTAATAAAAATTATCTATTTATTTGTTATTTAGTTATCCAGTTTTGAAAGCTGGTGAATTAATCGGCAATTTACTTGGTATTGTATTGGTAATATTCTGTGGTCTGATATTTTATTTAACTCAACATCCAAACTATCGTCGTATTGAAACAATGTCTCCAGAACATCGTGCACTACAAGAATAAATATTACTCGTAATAAACAATAATAATTATGTGAATTAAATTTATCAATTAATGTATTATTACCTAATATTTTAACCGAATTACGATCAGTTAACCGTTTTCACTGCTTCACTCCCAAACATTTATTTTCATTTTGTCATGAAAAAATGTGTTAGAAACCATCATAACTACACTCAAACCGACTATAATTATTTGTTACGCTTCAGTTCTATTCAACTTGTTATATGGTGATGTATTTTTGTTTGGTCATTTCGCATTATCCGTTGTTCTTTAATCCAATTTTTTTGTGACTAACTTGATCTCGTGATATATTGAAATGTCTATTATTATCAAATCAGATAATATTTTGAAAAAAATTATTTATTCAGATTTATTTATAGGTGTTGTGGTTGTTGTCGTAAAAACGTGTACTTCTATTTTCCGATCATTGATATTTGTACATCGTCGACTCTTCTTTGTCTATGCTTAATTTGTGAATATTTTCTTATTTTATCTGTAATTCTGCCAGTAAATATATGATCATTATACTACTAAATTTCTTCCTTACAGATTTATTTGTACAACATGTGATGTCTATGTCATGATGAGTTGGGAAAAATGGTTTTATTCGCGCCCACTTTTTTTTGTATTTCGCTTCATTTGTTGTTTTAATCTGTATGATTTAACAAACTAATGATTATTGTCCTTGTTTTCCAAAAAAACAAATATATTTCTATCTGTGAACATGTGACACTTATGAGTTTGTTTATTTACTTGAAAGAGAAAAAAAAATAGAGAGCCGACTTAATCTTATTATTATTATTATTATTATTATTATTATTATTGCTACTATTAGTTTTCTTTGCAAGTTGAATTTATTTTCTTATTTATGATAATGGTGTAATTGAACTTTATTGATCAGTCATTTGTTTGTCTGTGTGTTTGTCAGTAATAATTCAATTGATTATTGAAGATGTTTTTCTGTTTCTAATGTCAATATGTTTATTTATCTACGTTTACTTTAACAATTCCTATCTTTAGTATGTATGCAAAGCTCCTTCTAGTATCGTTATATTGCAGTGCATGAAAAGTCATTAAAATGTGTGTTCTTGAGCGTTTATGAAATAGTAACAATTCAAGTATGAAAACACAACTTAGAATGAATCAGTGAACAGTAATGAGAGTCATTCAAAGTAAAATTAATATAGTGATGTGAAATGGACTAGGCCACTTACTATCATTTGGTATACATGTTGTCCATGTACTTAATTAGTTAAAATTTTATCTCGTTTAGTCTGGTATGTTTGAACTTTCAGTGTTAATAAAGATGAAAGTGTTAAAAATAAGATCTGAGTATATCGTAGGATCAGGTAGAAACAAGTATTTTCTCAGAAGAATTTAGTATTCATTGTCCAAATTTTTGTCTTTGTTAAAAATTCTAATAAGTTATTTATCTAAGCCAAAAACATATGTATGGTCTCTACAGTAGATTTCCTGATTAAAAGATCTCTGTATATGCCATAGTGTTCTGCACTAAGAATACAGAGTAAACTGTTGACGTATTGTGTAGTTTTCTCATTGATGGGATTTATCTTTTTATATTGTCACAAGTAGTTTTCGATTATGTGAGGATGCTTCTGTTTATAGTGTAACACATCCTTTAGACATTTTTAAGGTTTACACTGATACAGTCCAAAGACGGCTAACAATCTGAATTGTGTTAACAATTTCTCCTGTATTATTTTAGAGGAGTTGGCAAAGTTCAATCTAGCTTATGTAAGCTGTAATAAGTCCAGCAGGTTAAGACTAAAGGATGTGAATACATCACATCTAAATGATTAGTTTGATGTTGGGAAATATACTTCTGTCTACTCTACATCTGTTGTCAAGTATAGCCTAGTTGTTGTAATGTATTGATTCCAATCTAATCTTCGGATATCTGTAACTGTGAATAGGTAACCATAGCCAAACCCGTACTTATAACAAGAGACATTTGAATTTTGTGGTGAACTTAAGTTAGAAAACTGTTGAAAATCAGTAGTCAACAGAGAGCTGTTTCATTTTAGTATGAAACTCACCAGTAGGCATTTGTAACCTAACCAATGATCGAACTTAGTACCATTAGGCTTGACGGTGAGTGCTTAATCTTTAGGCCATTGTGTCCTCATAAAATGGTTTATATTTCCGACCTTAGTTCCTTCCTTTTTTGTTCCAACGTAAAGATTTTCTAAAAATGCGTGTTCATTGTGGTTATATTTAAAGGAACCACTCTACAAGTGTAGTATATGGAGTTTATTCACTTACTAGAGGAATTCACTACAGAAAGGAGAGAAATAAGAGTATCAGAGATTTTAAATTATGGTTTTTTGTCAGATTTGAGAAACTGATCAACGAGCATACTTGAAAATCTTCAACTGGTTTATATTAAAATGAATGGAGCACCTGTACAACTTAGTAAGAAAATCGAAATTTAAATTATTTATTCTTCACTGTTATAAGAATCAGGAGAGGTATATATATTAAACTCTTATTTCATTTTTATAGTTTCCATTACAGATTAATTTAAGCTATACAACTATAAAAAACTAGAAAGCACTGGTTAGCTATTTAGACCAAGCATGGGTATTCTCATCAGTGTACACCCACGAAATTACCGTAGTCAATTTTTGGATGAAACGTATTAATATACTTTGTGTTAGAAACGCCCAGAGTCGATGCACCACTTATTTATAGTTTATTAGTTTTAACAGAAAGTAACCTATAATTACTATACATTTAAAAAATGCTTAATAACCCTTTTAAAGTGTATGAAATTAATCATGGTAATTAATTAACTTAGTTTGTTAATCATTTAGTTACTATAATCGATGTAGTTATGGTCTTGACCATTAAATTCAGTTGTATTAATTTCTAACCAGACAGTGACAGTGTAACTGTATCAGAAATCTATAATTTACTGATGCTAATTTCACTATATTTCTGAGCAGAATCATCATTACAAACTTCGAAATAGAAATTAGTGAATAAAGTCTCTTTAGGAGTATTTAACAATCATAATTTTCTTCAGCTCTATTCACAGACGGTTTTTTAGTTTGATACTCTTAGAAAACAAATGAAATAGGTCTATGTAGAATGATGTAATCAACATCTACAGTCCTAACACTATAAAGTATAGAACTGTAGTGGCTGGTCCTATGTCGAGCCCACATAGCTTAATTCTAGCTTTTGGACAAGCCAATTTATCCATTCTTCTCAAGCTATATTTTAACATTGTTAACCATTCGCTTATAAACCTTGACTGTTTTTATGTAAGCGTATGTCTTCATTTCCTATTTTATTCATCATATGTCTGTAACTTATTTTTATCTGACTATAAATATCGATCCACTCTTGATTAAACAGAGTCGGCTCACTCGCCTTCTCCACCGCACGTCACTAAGCTTCGTTCCTTCGACCGTTTATTTGAATCAACGATTGTATGAAATACACGTATTCGAAATCCATTCTCGTATTTGACTTTCTTTTAAATTCCGTTGTTCATCAACTCGATTTAAGTCGATGATTATTTACGAGGATAGGCGATAGAATCATTCACATGATCTACCAGCACTCAAATCACGGGCCACAAAAGAATAAGTTTTTTTCAATGTGTACCACTACAACTTTGAAATATTCCAAATCTCAGGCCAATCAATATAATCAATACAAAATTTTGTAGTAAAAAAAACATATTCATTCAATAAATCAATTTATAGTGGACTTATTTTTATAGACATTTAATACCATAACATGTAATAACTCCATGTGTCCGTTATCTTTGTCCTGAATTTTTGCTTTTAAATCCATATTCTGACTACACTTCATGTATTCATTCTATTCATTTAATGTATTTTTTAGTTTATTGAATCTTGTAGTAGGATTTACTTGGTTAACTTGAAACTACCTTATCTGTAGTCATTTAGTAGATAGACATTTGTTGAATTTCGTATGCGGTTCTTTCTATGAAATGATATTTATTATTATGCAAACGGATCAGTAAGGACCCGGAAAGATAGGGAAACTCGTCGTTGCCTCTTCTTCGTCTCTGCCTACTCTCCCACTAACTGCAGCTCAGACGATATAAAAGATGAGTTCTACAGGAAACTTTCTGACCTTCTCCGAGAAGCTAGGTGTTCTGATGTAGTAATAGTAGCAGGTGACTTTAATGCTCAAGTAGGTAAACTAAGTGAAAGGGAAAGACACCTGGGAGGATCTTATGGTGTCATGGCGAAAAGAACAGATAATGGCGACCGTCTGTTGCAGCTATGCTCAGATAACCGCCTATTTCTTGCAAATACTAACTTTAAGCATAAGGAAAAACATCTTTTGACATGGCGACCCCCGAATTCGTCCCAACGTTGGACCCAATTAGATCACATCGCTATCAGCCACCGATGCAGGGGCTCGATAGAAGACTGTTGCTTATTCTAGAGCACATGCTTAAATTCAGATCATACCCTGGTGCGAGCACGTATGTCTGCGTCTAACTGGATGTAGGAAAGACACTGCAGGGAAGCCTCTAAGGGTTCTACTTAATGATAGGCAAGCTAAGAATATATTTCAGGAACAACTAGAAAAACAGTTAGGCAGTCATGTAGGTTGTGTCCACCCCGAGGAAGCGTGGAAAGCTATTAAAACAGCAGTGATATCCGCTAGTAAGGTAAACCATAAGGTTAGGGAGAAACAATGGATCTCGGCAGCATCTACCGCACTGATAGATGCTCGAAAACTCATCCCACCTGGCTCTGAACATAACGAAGAGCGGAGTCAGCTTAAGAGAAGGCTAATAAGAAGCCTACGCAATGATCGTGAACAGTGGTGGGTAGCGAAAGCAAGAGAGATGGAAAAGGCATCGGCAATAGGTAACAGCAGACAGCTATTCAGACTCGTTAAAGAAACCGGTATTAGGAACCCGAATATCAGTGAAACCATCTCAGATAAAGATGGGCATATTATTCATTCTCAATCCAGGAGATTGGATCGATGGGCAGAACACTTTAGGGATCAGTTCAACTGGCCTTCAGCCACACTTCAGCTACCCACGATCCCCAGTCGACCTGAACGGGAAGTTGATGTAAGTCCTCCAACTCTTTACGAGGTTGAAAAAGCTATAGGAAATCTGAAGCGAGGGAGAGCCGCAGGTCCTGACAGGTTTACTCCTGAGATTTTTAAGGATGGTGGTCCAGTACTAGCAACGAGATTGACTGAGGTCTTAGGTAGAATCTGGGAACTGGACGTAATTCCATCTGACTGGTCCCAATCACTGATCGTGCCAGTCTATAAGAAAGGACAAAAGTCCTCCTGTGACAATCACAGAGGGATCAGTTTGACTAATATATTATCGAAAATATTAGCTTCAATAATACTAGGTCGCCTAACGAAAGCTCGTGAAGAGCAGACTAGAGAAAACGAGGCTGGTTTTCGACCTGGACGTGGTTGCATAGACCAGATATTCACCCTACGTCAGGTCGTAGAACATAGACATACATTCAGACGCCCCACAATAGTAGTATTCTTCGACCTTAAGGCGGCATTTGACTCCGTTGATCGTGAGGTTCTATGGCAGTGTTTGTCACTGAAAGGAGTACCAAAGAAGTACATCAACCTCATACAGGCTCTCTACTCGAACACAACTGGTCGAGTTAGAGCCTATAGCGAACTGTCATTAGAATTGGTTACCTCAAGTGGTGTTCGTCAGGGCTGTCCACTCTCCCCATTCTTGTTTAACTTTGTCATTGACATACTTTTAGAGATAGCACTTTCATCAGCTAAACCTCCTGGAGTTGAACTTC